ACGTGGGCTCAGGTTGCAGGCTCAATCCCCAGTAGGGGTCAATGATTATCCCTCAATACTGATGTTTCTATCTCTCTCTCCCTCTCCTTTCCTCTCTCTGAAATCAATAAAAACATTTTTTTTTAAAGAGGAGGGACTTTACTATTATTTTGTTGTTGCTCACTGCTGTCTCTGGTAAGGAGAATACAGCTATATCTTGTTTTATTGCACTTCACAGATGCTGCTTTTTAAAAAAATTAAAAACAAGACCCTCCACCAGCAAAAAGATTACAACTCACTTTATCGTGATACTGACTTCATTTCAGGGGTCCAGAACCAAACCCACGGTTTCTCTTGGGGTATGCTTGTAAAGCTCAATAAACTTAGTTTAATGAACGAATGGACATTTTTCCTAGTTTCAAACATTTCTCTGTTTCAAAAATGCTGCCCTGAATATCTTTGTGCCCATATTTTTTGGCATAGGGTAAAATCTAGGAAGAAGTGTAGGTGCAAATGTGTGTGACTTTAAATTTTGATAAACACTGCCAAATCGGTACTTTCCATATATTTAGTAATTCTATCGTTCACATATCTGCTTGGGTATCAAAACCAGAATCTCCCAGATAGTTAATTTTAAATAGCTCCCTTCTGCACATCCCTTCTCTGTTCTAATTCAAGTGCTATGGGGTACATGGAAACACCACCTGTGGGGGAGAATCTGCACCCCATCCCATGCCCACCTGTGATTCTGACAAACGCTCAGGACTGAGAATGGCTACCGACGCTACCCATTTCTTGCTGCATTGCAGCTGATGGAAACGTACTCCCACATCGTAATCTTAATGTGGTTACTCAGTCCTTACTCGCTCCCTGCTTATCCAGTGCCTACTGTGTGTTCAAGACCCTATGCTCTCTCTCCCAGAGGCAAGGTTGTACAGAAGGTGTGGTTATGGATCTTACCACTGCCATGTTATCGGAAGCCTGAAAATCTACAACTCAGGCACCCACCAAACAGCTGAAAACCCCCAGAACACCGGAATCCCAATTGGCGCAAACACGCGGATTCTGAGAAGCTGTCAGATTTTGCCTGGGATCAGCTGTTAAGTCAACGCAGGAGAGAGAGAACTACATAACCAGACATCTGGAGAAGAGAGACCACGGGGAGACAGAGAAACAGCCCGCATGTTTGAAAGAAAAGCAGGCGTCGCCAGGAAAGGAAGTAAATGAAACGGAGGCAAGTAACCTGTCAGAGAAAGAATTCAGAGAAATGGTCATAAGGTGGCTGAAAAGAATGGAAGACAAATTCCACAACATGAGTAAGAACCAAGAGGAAATGAAGAAGAACTAAGAAGAAACGAAAAATAATTTCATATAATCCCCATGAGGTGCCTCTATTATTTGTGCTTCACGGATGAAGAAGCAGAGGCACAGAGATGGTTGAGTAACTTGCTCAAGGTCACACAGCTAGCAAGAGTCAGGATTTGAGGCAGGTAATTTAGCTCCTTGTTAAGGCCGTAAGATTGGGATCACAAAGAAGCCACAGTCACCAAAGATCTGTCAGACAGAGTGGCCTCTTCCCCTATTCTGGAATGTCCACCACGTGGAGATTTTGTCAAACCAAGATACTATACAATTAAGGTTAATGTCTAATTAATTCAGGGGTCCAGTATGTGATTTTACATCTTCAATGCTGCTGCCATGTGCCCTCCTGGGTTGTCCTTTAGTGGCTTCTTGCTGGTCCTAGTCCAGTGGGGCTGGCAGAGCAACCTCTGAAGCTAAGCCAGTTACTGGGCCTCTCAGGGAAGGGGCACCCACCTACCAGACTGGGATTTCTCTATTTGGTTCAGGTAGTGGGTGGTGCATTCCAAGAACATCTGAGACACCTGTAGGTGACTTGCACTCTATGTCTCCACTTCCTTCCTACACCTACTCCGGGCTCACCCATTCCTCTGGAAATGCCCCTAACTCACTCCCGGCCTGTAAAAGATATGGACAATGATGCACCCAAAGAAAGAGTGGGGGATGGACTCTCCAAGCTCAATGTGGCAAACCCATCACAGAAATGCAAAGAAGAAAGAAAGGTTCAGGAATGTATCCGGCAAGAAGGGGGTGGAAGCGGATGTAGAACTGGGGTTGAAAAGTACCTGGAGAAGGAGAGAGGGATCATGATTTTTATTGATTTCAGAGAGGAAGAGAGAGGGAGAGAGATATATAGAAACATCAACGATGAGAGAGAATCACTGATTGGCTGCCTCCTTCACGGCCCCTTCTGGGATTGAGTCTGCAACCCCGGGTATTTGCCTTGATCAGGAATCAAACCCTGGACCCTGCACTCCACAGGCCAACGCTCTATCCACTGAGACAAACTTGCTGGGGCAGGGATCGAGGTTTTTAAAGAAGTCCTCTCCAGGCCTATCCACTAGGATAGAAAGGGAGAAAAGAACTCAAGGAAGTTATACTGTACACCATAAGATTAAGTACTCAGCTGTTCTGTGTCTAGCAAATCATGCTACAAATACATAAGAAGTAAGAGGCTCTTCTGAGACCTTGGTTTAAACTGTGTTTATTATTATTATTACTCATTTATTTTTTTAAATATATTTTATTGATTTTTTTTTTTATGGGGAGGAAAGGAGAGAGATAGAGAGCTAGAAACATCGACCAGCTGCCTCCTGCACACCCCCATCAGGGATGTGCCCGCAACCAATGCACATGCCCCCGACCGGAATTGAACCTAGGACCCTTCAGTCCACAGACTATCCATTGAGCCAAACTGGCCTCGGCTATTACTCATTTTTAAAAAAAACACACACATATTTTATTGACTCTTCACAGAAAGGGAGAGGGAGAGAGAGCTAGAAACATCAATTTGCCGCCTCCTGCACACCCTTGACGGGGGATGTGACCACAACCAAGGTACATGCTCTTTCCTGGAACAGATCTTGGGACCCTTCAGTCTGCAGGCCAATGCTCTATCCACCAAGCCAAACTGGTTTCAGCTTATTACTCATTTTTAACCATTGCCTGTTTAACCTTTGGTATGTTTCATGTCCTCCCATTTAGAAGCTCTAAAGCTACAAATGGAACTGCAAATGGAGGCCACTACATTCACCTTCCCTGGACCCTGAGACCGTCCACTTCCGATGGGACCTTGACTGCCACCCCCAATGGCAGTTGGGGTTTCCTAATTGGAGCAGGGACTGAAATAGGAATTTTAGGGGTGAAATAGGCAGGATAAGGAAATATATATATATATATATATATATATATATATATATATATATATATATATAAAATTGATTTTTTTACAGAGAGGAAGAGAGAGGGATAGAGAAAGTTAGAAACATCGATGAGAGAGAATCATTGATCAGCTGCTTCTTGCACACCCCTATTGGAGATGTGCCTGAAACCAAGGTACATGCCCTTGACCTGAATCAAACCTGGGACCTTTCAGTCTGTAGGCCAATGCTCTATCCATTGAGTCAAACTGGTTTCCGCAGGACAAGGGAGTTTTTAGAATGGGGGGAGGGGGGGGTCCATGGAAAAAATAAACAAACAAAACACAGGGCTACAGACTGGGAGAAGGTACATTTCCATAAGTCTAGCGAGGCAACAGTTACATTTACATAAACTAAGGAAACTGGGAGTAACAAAAGGTCTATATTTAGAAAATAAAGAAGGTGGAATAGGAGGACAATGAGGGAGAGGGGCCACACAGGTCCTATGTGAGATTTGACCTTTGAGCTCAGGCATTACCATAATAGCCAATTCAAAAGAGAATATTGACCAACCTGAGGGGATGTCATTAAGCAGTAAGGACTCCTCAGGCATGTCCACCTGCTGGCCTAGGCATGCACCCTGGAGGGATCCCGGACTGCAGAGAAGGCACAGGCTGGGCTAAGGGACCCCACCCCAGTGCATGAATGCTGTGCAATGGGCCTCTACTATAAAATATATAGCATAACCCTTTCTACACACACACACACACACACACACTCACACACTCACACACTCACATACACATAATAGATTACAAGATATTAGGAGGCTATAAACCCAAATGTCAACATATTTTTCATGTGGGGTTATGGCTGATTTAAATGTTAACCTTTTGCTGGGACCAGTTTGGCTCAATGGATAGAGCGTCAGCTTGGGGACTGAAGGGTCCCGGGTTCAATTCCGGTCAAGGGCATGTACCTTGGTTGCGGGCATATCCCAGTAGGGGGTGTGCAAGAGGCAGCTGATCGATGATTCTCTCTCATCGACGTTTCTAACTCTCTATCTCTCTCCCTTCCTCTCTGTATAAAATCAATAAAATATATATATTTTTTAAAATGTTAACCTTTTATTTTTTCTAATGTTCTACAACAATATGTATTTGCCATATATATATATATATATATATATATATATATATATATATAGTTAATCTTATTGACTTAGAGAAAGGAAGGGAAAGGTAGAAGCGGGATAGAACCATCAATGATGAGAAAACCATTGGTCTACAGCCTTCTTCATGCCCCCTACTGGGGATCTCAAGCCTGAAACCTGGGCCTGGGGCTGACTGGGAAACCCAAGCGTGACCTCCTGGCTCAGAGATCCACGCTCAACCCCTGCACACCTGCCAGGCTTTATTCTGTTTCTCAGTTTCAACTGGGTTAACACAGGCCCTTGCTTTGGGTTACTTATTTATTTTTTTTAGCGTAAATTTGTTTAATCAAGTTTCCTCCATGTTATGATACATCTCACAATGAGGGCTTAATAAGCTTCACTATTTATTTTTCAATATTTTATACAAAGACCCGCATCTCTAGTACAGTGTTCCATAATTTCGGAGCAAAAAATTGACCCTGGAACTGCAAACACAGGTTGGTTTGCGCAGCTGAGCAGTACGGACTACAAGTCCCGGTAGGCACTGCGGCAGGCGTACCGGAACTACGGGGGCCGAGAGGGGGCCGGGGCCCTTACGGTCCTATTCCCACCCAGAAGCCCGCGGGCTGCACGGAACGTTGTCTTGTATCATGGCCGCGGGAGCCGGGACGGGGGGCCCCGCTTCCGGCCCGGACGTTCTGCGTGATCCGGCGGCGTCACAGTCGAGGAAGCGGTCCGGTCGTGGGGGCGGGGAGGCTGCGCGGCGAACGGACGCGATGGCGGGAGGAGGCGGGAGCAGCGACGGCCCCGGGCGGGCGGCGAGCCGGCGGGCGTCCCGCAGCAGCGGCGGGCGGGCTCGGCGGGGGCGGCACGACCCGGGGGCGGGGGGCGCGGGGGAGGCTCGGCTGGAGGAGGCGGTGAACCGCTGGGTGCTCAAGTTCTACTTCTACGAGGCGCTGCGGGCCTTTCGGAGTAGCCGGTACGGGGACTTCAGGCAGATCCGGGACATCATGCAGGGTGAGGGCCGGGCCCGGGGGAAGGGGCTGGGCGTCGGGGTTGGGGGCGGGGAGGGGGGGGTATTCCGGGGCCGGGGGTCGGGGCTGGGGTCGCCGAACCGACGTTGTCTTCTTCCCCAGCTCTGCTTGTCAGGCCCTTGGGAAAGGAGCACACCGTGTCCCGGCTGCTGCGGGTTATGCAGTGTCTGTCGCGTATTGAAGAAGGGGAGAATTTAGGTATGGCAATTTTTTTTTTTTTTTTTTTTTTTGTGTGTGTGTGTGTGTGTGTGTGTGTGTGTGTGTTATTGCTCCGGGTTTAGTTATACTCTTGTTACCAAATTTACATCCGGGACTGAAGGATTCGGGATGGAGGTGCGCTGCTGAGTTTGCATCAGTGGTCGTTTTCCTTCTAGAATGAGCATGCTCGGGGCTCTAGTTTTTCCAGTGGAAGAGATGCTCTCTTGCCTGCTTTTCTGTGGTTTTGCCTGCGTTTTTCTTTTTATTTCCTCCCACCTGTTTCTTGCTCGCCCCAACTTTGCTGCTGTTGTCTGAAGTGAGTTATGTTAAGATGGCCACATCTTTTTTCTCCATAGTAGAGAGTTTTTTTTCGGAGTAGAAGCACATTTTTATTTTCTGAATTGAACTAGAAAGCTGTTTGGCAAAGCTGTCTACAGTGTCTGGCCGCTTGTGTCTGAAGAGGATGTGTGCATCTTGAAATTTGAGCTGCAGATGCATGTGCTAAAAAAATATATATATATTTTTTACCTGTCTTGAAAATTAAGCCATTTCAAATTCATTGACTTGAATTTGGACCCTTTAACATGTCTGTAAGCCTGTAGCGAGTTAGTCAGCAATTAAATGCAAATCTTACTATATTTGCATGTTTCCTGTCCATTAATATATGTATTTTTGGACATAACGTTTCTACTCTGGAGAAAATAGCTTTAAAGTGAAAACTGTGCTCTTTGTCCTAGACTGTTCCTTTGATATGGAGGCTGAGCTCACACCCCTGGAATCAGCTATCAATGTGCTGGAGATGATTAAAACGGAATTTACACTGACAGAGGCAGTGGTGGAATCCAGTAGAAAACTGGTCAAGGAGGCTGTAAGGCTCTATTTTTCTTTTTTCTTTGAACAAAACTCAGAGGTCTTTGAGGATACAATGCATGTCTTTCTGTGTGCGGTGGAGGGAAAATAGTGGAGAGAAAGCAAGTGAGCACACTCAACCATGAACATACACATAGATGTTCTCTCTTCAGGTAACCCCTTCCCATTTATGGCAGGTGCTCAGCGGTTAGGATTTTGGTGTCTTCCTTGAGGCTCTTGCAGGAGGGGCCACAGGACGTAGGAAACAGGTTGGCATTGAAGACTGGAGATTATCACATACCATTAAGGAGAACTGTGGAAGGGCTAGAAGTAACTGGGGGTGTTTGGCCACCCTTGTATATAATAAAACAAGAAGAGCTGGGGCCTTGGGAAATGTGGGACTCTGAGCTATCAATGCAATTGCAGAAAGAGAGGCTAGGGAACATTCCCCTTGAAGACACACTTTCAGAGGTGCTGTGACAATCAGCCAATTAGAAACGCAGTCATGGTGGAAGGCTTGCACAGGTAGTGTTCTTGACAAGAAAAAAAGCTAGTGGAGTGTCTAGGAATTTGGGACTATTGACTCTGTCATGGCTCAGGTAGCTTCAAGTAGTAGAACCTATTTAAAACATAGACGTAGCCTGGCCAGTGCGACTCAGTGGTTGACTCAGGAGGTCACAGTTCCATTCCAGCTCAGGGCACATGCCAGTGATGCAGGCTTGGTCCCCAGCAGGGGGTGTGCAGGAGGCAGCCGATGGATGATTCTCACATTGATGTTTCTATGGCTTTCTTCCTCTCTCTGAAATCAATAAAACATATTGGGAGGTGTGGGGGGGAACATACCAAAAACATAGAATGGCCATGGGAACCAGTCAGAAAAAGGTTTTTGTTCTCCAATAACAAAGGCTAGGGATGTGGAAGCAGATTCAGGAGGTGGGGACTGAGGAAAACAGCTCAGCATGCCTTGGTGATGGAAAGTAAGAAAACGGGTAAGAAAAAAAAGAGCGCCCCCTGAAAGGATGGAATTGGGTCGGAGGCAGGGGAAGAGGGGGAGGCTGAGGTTAAAGCCTTGCTTAGCAATGAAGACTCTTCCTTGGTGTGCTGAGTGCTCAGGTACCCTGTTAAAGCAACCAGTGTATGTGAGGAGCAGATGTTTATTCAGTTAAGGACCCTGGAAGGAGCTGCTTTTGCTCTTGCAAAGGAAGCTTAGATAATTCTAGCTGCAAGAATAGAATTTTGGTTGAGGTAAGTCAGGTTTGTGTTGGAGGGAAAATGCCAGAAAAGACATAATAGCAAGGGAAGAGAAATCCATGCTGGCTTTCAAAAGAGCTTTTGAATGGAAAGAAAGAGCACAGGTTCAGAGTAATTTGTGTAGCTGTTATTAAAGAGCGAGCTGATTGAGAAATGCAACTCCTTCAGAATGCAAGGACTATAGGTTTGTCTTCGGTGAGAAGCTTCCATCTTTCAGCTGTATATTTAAGTTCAGGGATCCTTCTGTTTAGGAGCTTCGTTAAGGAAAAATCTATTCGTAAAATCTAGTTAACCATTTTCTTATGTTGACACCTTCTCCTTTCCATTTTCTACCAGGTACAAGATCTCGATATACTTAATTATATTACTAATACTGCTGTGTAACAATTTATCCCTAAATTTAGCAACTTAAAACATTAAAGTATTTTCTCCCATTTTCCAAGAGTCAGGAATGGGGTAGTTGTATAGCCTGGGTATTTCTGGCTGAAGTCGCCCAGGAGATTATGGTCAAGCTGACTACTACTAGGGTTGAAAGGTATGTTTCCAGGCTCATGCACACAGTTGTTAGCAGGACTCACTTCCTCCACGGCTATTGGTTGTAGACTTCAGCGCTTTGTCTCCATAGGGCTGCTTACATCCTGGTAGCTTGCTTCCCCTGGACAGAAGCTGCAATCTTTTATAACTTAATCTCAGAAGTAACGTCGTATCATCACTTCATCCATATGCTATTGGTCACAGATCAGGCCAACTCTGGGTTAGCGTATAGAATGGACTGTAGGAGGTAGGGATCATTGGGGGCCATTGTAGAGGCTGTCTATCAAAATTATCTTGATTTCCTAGTTATTAATTCTCTGTCACTTGTCTTTTTTTTTTGTCTTTTTTATCAAGTGAGTTATTTTTTAAGCTAGATCTTCTCAGCATACAGTCTGGGGATTTCTTGCAGGTCTTCAGGACCCTTTAATGGGTCAAAAACAATTTTCATAACAATGCCAAAAACAGTAGTTGACTTTTTTCTGTGCATTGACATTTGCACTGATGGTGCAAAAGCAGTGATGGGTAAAACGGCTGATGCCTTAGCAAGATCAAGGTAGTGGTAAATGATATTAGTGCTCCTTGTATTCATTGCCACATGCTTGCAGTTAAAAGCCACTTTAAGAATGTCTTTGAGCCGAAACCGGTTTGGCTCAGTGGCTAGAGCGTCGACCTGCGGACTGAAAGGTCCCAGGTTCGATTCCAGTCAAGGGCATGTACCTTGGTTGCGGGCACATCCCCAGTAGGGGGTGTGCAAGAGGCAGCTGATCAACGATTCTCTCTCATTGATGTTTCTAACTCTCTATTCCTTTCTCTTCCTCTCTGTAAAAAAATCAATAAAATATATATTTTTTTAAAAAGAATGTCTTTGAGGAAGGAGTAAAAATTATTAATTTTATTTCATCTAGACTGGAGCAAACATCTTTTCACTATTTTGTGTGACAAAATAAGAATCTTGCCTGAAGTATTTTTGCTGCAAACTTGATGATGGTCTTCAAGAAAAGCCCTTGAGTGATGGAGTTGCAGGGCTGACCTGGCTGCTTTTTGTTGTTAATCCTCGCCTGAGGATATTTTTTCATTGCTTTTCAGAGAGAATGGAAAGGAGGGGTGAGGGGAGAAAAAGTAGAGAGAGGGAGAGAAGGAAGCAGGAGAGAAACTATAATGTGAGAGAGACATCTACTGGTTGCATGCCCTGACCAAGGTGCAACCCAGGTACCAGCCCTTGACCCGGAATCGAACCCATGACTCTTCAGTGTTGGGCCAACACTTTAATCATTGAGCAATACTAGCCAGGGCCTAGCTGCCTTTTTAATGGAACACCATTTTTACTTGACAGAACTGACAAACTTTAGGTATTTGGCCGTTGTTTTCTTGAGAAAATGAACTTGTCACTTCAAGGAAAATAATTGACAGTATTTGTTACAATGACAAAATTCAAGCTTTCAGGTGTGTTTTGGAAAACTTGTATTAATATGCTTGATAGCTTCCCAATTCTTCAAGACTTTTCTGATAAGATTGATGATGGAATTAGCAATAGTAACTTTAAAAAATTATTTTAAATAATGGGTCAATATTTGGAAGATCTTCATAATTTAATGAACCAATATTTTCCAGATGATCAATGCATTATATTACAGAATCATTCCTGGGTAAAAGATACATTTAAAGTATAAGATAAACTTACGGTAACACATTTAAGTTTGGTATAGAGTTGAAGAAATATAGCCATAATTTTCTGAAGGGCTATTTAAATATTCCTTCCTTTTCCAACTTCATTCCTGTGTGAGGCAAGATTACTTTTGTATATATTCCAACCAAAACAACAAAATGAATGCAGAAGTAGAAGTGAGAATCCATCTTTCTTCTATTAAATCGGATATTAAAGAGATTTGCAAAAATGTACACCACCAACCTATGCATTAAACTTTTGTCTTAGAAAATATAGTAATTTTTCACAAAGATGTGTGCTTTTGTTAACCTGTAATGCATTTATTTTTGTTTTTTAATGCATTAATATCTTTAATATCAGTTTTATATTTCTAATATGATGATTATTAATAGATATAACACATAAATAAAAGCTCTTTGGAATCCTCATTAACATTTAAGAGTATAAAGGAATCCCAAGTCCAAAGAGTTTGGGAACTGCTTCCGTAAGTTAATGATATTGAGACTATATTGGTTTTCTCTTCATTACTACAAGACATTCCTCAGTTAATGTTTCTGTCAAAAACAGCAGCGAATAGCATGGATAGCATGTTTTGAGGAAGCAGTTATTTGCTGCTTTTTGCCTTTGCAGCGTTTTTTCCTGTACCTGGCTTCGTAAGAGCCCTTTGATTTTCTTTTGGTGTTTTACCCAGTCTGAGGGGCTGGGGATCAGACAGACGCTCCCAGAAGTTTAATTTTTGGAACAAAAAGCTTTGTCAAGGCTTTGAGCATGCCTGCTTTCCCATAATAGCCTGGATTCTTTCTGAGTTTTCTTCCTTAGCCTTTCTTTACTTCTGTGAGTTTGGTTTTCTATCTTTCCCCCCACACCTAAGTCTGTCTCTCTGCTATTGAAAATCCGTGCTTAGAATTTCCCTTTTGTTTAAGTTTGAAGAGCTCAGTGCTATTGCTTATACCCAAGAACCTTAACAGACACATAAGAGAAGAAATTACACTTATTTCTGAATACTCTCAAGTGAAAAAAGCAATGGTTCATCTCTTTAAAAGAAATCTTCACTGGAAATTAATACTTTTAAAAGATAAACTCATAGCACAAACTTTGGAGACAGACTTTTAGATTTTGAAAGCATTTGTATTTCCTTTCTCGTTTAACAAACTAAATATAACAGGAACTATGTTCCAGTTCTGGAATAGATTAAGCATGCTCTCTTCCGATTACTTTAATGCTCCAAGTATAAGTCCTGCACAGAATGTGTGGAACAACTCTGAGGACTTAGGAATATAAGTGGTAGTAAGAGATGGGGAAAACACCAGCATTTGAAAGTCTACCAAACTGGTCATGAGTAGTTTATCATTGTTTCCCTCTCCAGTTTCTGTCCAGGTGTGAACAGAAAGAACTCCAAGGGAGGTTCTCTCTGGTCGGAGGAGCAGGAAAGAGATCGAAGGGTCAGAGAGGACGGGAGAAAGTCCAGTTTTGTGTTTTCCTTCTCTTGTGGCCCAGCACTTAGGCAGTACTACAGTAGTGGCAGCAGGGCAGGCACCTAACCTGAAAGCAGAACCCTTTCCTCTTTAACAGTAGAGGTATGATCCTTAGAACTTGGAGCAAATTCCATTGCTTTTAATATATATATATTTTTATTGATTTTAGAGAGGAATGGAGAGGGGTAGAAAGAGAGAACTACCAATGATGAGAGAGAACCATTGATCAGCTGCTTCACACATACACACACACACACACACACACACACACACACACACACACACATACACACACTCTCCCCTGGGGATTGAGCCTGCAACCCAGGGGTGTGCCCTGACCAGAAATCGAACCATGACCCCTGGTTCACAGGTTGACTGAACTGTACAGCTGGGCTCCATTGCCGTTTTTACTGTACATCCTGCTGCTTTAGGTTCAGCCCTGGATACAGGTGCCGTCAGTGTGTGGCACAGTGGGGAAACTAAAGCCCAAAAATGCAAGGCTGATTCAGTATTTCTAAATCAGTGTAACCCACCCTATTAATCTAAAGAAGAAAAAAAACACACAATCATATCAGGGGATGCCAAAAATGTATTTGACAAAACTCAATATTAGTTCATGATAAAAACTCTCAGAAACTAGGAATTAAAAGTAACTTCCACAATCTGATAAAAGGCATCTACAAAAAAAACTTACAGCTAACATCATACTTAATGGTAGAGAAGGAATGCTTTGTACTTAAAAATCCAAAACAAGGCAAGGAATCCATTCTCACCACTTCCATTATACATCATGTCAGAAGACCTAGCTAGTGCAATAATAATAATAATAAAAAAGAAAATGCAACAGACTGGAAAGGAAGGAATAAAATTATCCCTATTTGCAGAAGACATCACCCTGAGTAGAGGGGGGGGGAGGGGGGGCGGGGGGCAAAAGCAGGTTCATAGGGTTCAAATGGAAAATAATACAACAATTAATAATACAAAAATAAACTCCCATACTCATAACTGTAAACCTACTTTTGCCCCATTCTGTATAAATATCTCTCATGAAATAGACAAAAAAAAGCTATACTAAGTAACTTTAGCAAGATAGCAGGATATAAGATGAACACAAAAATTAATCATATTTCCATACACTAGCAGTAAAGAATTTGAAATCAAATTTCCAAAACAGTGCCATTTACAATACAGTAGTCTCCCCCTTATATGTGGGAAATATGTTCCAACACTCCCTATATATACATACACTAATGGCATCTCTTTGCCACATCCTAATTACCATCATTACTGCTTTGTGCTTTGGGGCCATTAAATAAAACCAGGGCTACTCCAACACAAGCATTGCCATACTGTGACGGTCAACTAGAGAACCAAGACAGCTACTAAATGACTTAACAGGCAGGTAGCGTGTACAACATGGATACACTGGACAAAGGGATGATTCCTGTCCCGGGTGGGATGGAGCAGGACAGCCTGAGATTTCCTCATGCCAGATGTCATCATGCTGCCTAGAGCAATGGTGCAATTTAACATTTATGAATTGTTTATTTCTGGAATTTTCCATTTAATATTTTGGAGTGTACTTGGCCACGGGTAACTGAAGCAATTTTTGTATGGAAAATAATATTTAATAATAAAAGGCTAATATACAAATTGACCAAGCGGAATGACTGGATGCTATGATGAGCACAGACCACCAGGGGGCAGATGCTCAATGCGAGGGTTCACTCCCACAGCCAACACCCTCCAATCCCTCCCCCCTGGCCAACCAACGTCCCACCGTCTCTCCCTCCAGCCGGTCCCTCCACCTGGCTGGCCAGCCCTGGTTCGCCAACCTCCCATAGCCCCTCTTCCCCCCTGGCCAGTCGGCTAACCTGTGATCCCTCTCCCTGGCCAGCAGGCCCTGCTCAGCCCGGCCCCAATCAGGAATGGGTGAGGTGGCCCTGATGGCCCTGATCGCTAGCCAGGCCTAGGGACCTAACCCGTGCATGAATTCATGCACCAGGCCTCTAGTTTAATAAGAATAAGCTCACATACAAGTGTGTAAACCTATTTTTGTCCCATTTTATTTGTATAAAAATGGATAATGGGAGAACTACTCAGCTCCCAAAAGAAAAATGCTTAAATGTAAGTCTAGCAAAACACATGGTAAAATTCTGAGAAAAATACTGTTGAGAAAGAAGACAAGCTATAGACTGGAAGAAAATATTTGCAAGTTTTATATCTGACAAAGGACTTGTTCCAAAGTATATAAAGAACTCTAGAATTGTGCACCTGAAACTTATACTGTATAATTTTGTTAACCAGTATTACGCCAATTCAATAAAAAGAAAAAAAATATAAAGACCTCTCAAAAGAAAAGAAACAAACTCTGTTTTAGTAACGGGCAAAAGACCCCCAAAGAGAATATGGATGGCAAGTGAGTACATGAAAAGATGCTCAGCATCAGTCAATAGGGAGATACAAAGTAAAGCCAGAACATACCTATTAGAGCGGCTAAACTTTTTTTTTTTTTTTTAATCAATCTTTATTGTTCATATTATTACAAAGGTTCCTCATTTCTTCCCCCCTCCACCAGGTTCCCACCCCACCTTCTGCCCCCTCCCCATCCCCCATTGTCCTCATCCATAGGTGCAGTTTATGTTCAGTCTCTTCTTCCCTCCCTTTCCCCAATAGTAAATCCCTTTTCAGATAGTAAATCAGTTACTTAGCATTTTCTCATATCAATAATACCTCCACATGCCCAATGATACACTTCACACAAAAGACATTTCCCACTAGGTCAACCAGCCTCATCCAGGCCCCACCCAAGGCACTCACAGATCAACACCCCAGTCCTAAACTAACTCAACACATCCAGATCTAAGCCTTCATCACTTGATTCAGCAGACCCTCAAGTTCCCACGAAAGTTTCCAGCCATGTCTGAGAAGCAGCCGTGGGGCAGGGGCAGGCGAGGAGCGAGCTGTTCTGGGCCTGGCTGCTCAGGGCCTGGCCTCTGTTGCTCTGGTTCATTCCACAACCAGCTGCTCCGGGTCTGGTCACTGCCGCTCCCGACCTAGTTGCTCTGGACTTGGCTGCTGCTGCTCCGGGCCTGGCCGCTCCCAGCCTGGCAGCCGCTGCTCCGGGCCTGGCCGGACCCGACCCGGCTGTAGAGCGGCTAAACTTTAAAAACTAATACTAAGAAGTGCTAGTGAAAATGTGGAGCAACTGGAACTCTCCTACATTGCCGATGAGAATGCAAAATGGTATCATAAGGAAAACAGTTCGGCCATTTATGAAATTATACATTTTCCATCTGACCCAGCAATTCCACTTCTGGGTATTAACTGTAGAGAAATGTTTTAGCATCTCTATTCATAATCACCAAAAATTGTAGACGACTCAAATGCCCTTTAAAGGTGAATGGATAAAATTAGTAGATCCATATGATGGGATATACTGTTCAGCAATAAAAAATAAGGAATTATTGGTAATATAACAACATAGATGGATTGCAGAGGTATCATACTGAGGGTAGTAAGCTATGTTCTTTAAAAAATAAGCGCTAAGTGCTGTATAAATCAATTTATAACATTTTGAGAAGTCAGATTAGGGATGTGAGACAGAGTGATTACAGAGAGGCAGCACAAGGGACATTTTTGTGTTATAAGAGTCAATACTTGTGTTAAAACTCAACAGTCCACCAAAAGTTAATTTACTATATGCAAGGAAAATAAAACTTAAAAACAATAGCACCTAACTGACTTATAAAGAGTAAAATCTTTGTATTCAAGAAAGTATAGTTTTAGTGTCGTTTTTCTGCAAAAAAATTATTATATGTAAAAGTGAATGTGGTCATCTAATTAAAATGGAAAGACTGTACCTTCCCTGGGCAGCAAGAATTTAGGCTTATGTGCCGAAACCCGTTTGGCTCAGCGGTAGAGTGTCGGTCTGCGGACTGAAAGGTCCCAGGTTCGATTCCGGTCAGGGGCATGTACCTTAGTTGCGGGCATATCGCCGGTGGGGGGTGTGCAAGAGGCAGCTGGTCGATGTTTCTCTCTCATCGACGTTTCTAGCTCTCTTTCTCTCTCTTTTCCTCTCTGTAAAAAATCAATAAAATATATTAAAAAAAAAAAAAAAAGAATTTAGGCTTATGCATTCAGGAGCATTTGACTAGTTTGCCCTGTAGGGCTGTGCTCAGCACGTTGACAGAATGACCAGATATTAGTACTTAAATAGATTTTCTTGCTATTCCTTCTCTTTTCTGTTTCTTAAATTCTTCCCTGAGAAGATTGAAAATTCCTACCTACGAACCAATTTTCCTTCCTTTGTATGTGACGTATGTCTGATAACCTCTCTTGAGACGGAATTGTTATCCTGTTAGATAATTCCAAGTGCCCTCAGTTTTCCCCTGACTTTTCTAATTAAAAAACAAAACAAAACACACACACATTTTAAAAATATCCTTTTTAATTTTCAATTTATGACTAATTTCCCTCTACTATAGTCTCTTCGGTTTTCTTGTGTGTGTTTTTTACCTTCATTTTCTCTGGTTGTTGAGACCTCATCCTAACTGAAACTCTTGTGGCTGCAGTGGATGAGCTGGGTTTTGTCTATCTCAGTAATTCCTGCACATTGTAACTGGAATAATGTATCTCACCCTCTCTCCCTCCATTGCATCAAAGCTTTTGCATCTAAAAAGAACAAAACCAGTTGTTCTGGGGAGCTGGAATGACTCGAGTCCATTTTGCCTTTCCTTATGAGGCCCTATTCAAACTGAGTAAATGGTCTGTAATCTAAGGGATCAGATTTTGCTGTAATAGGAATCTTTTTAAAAAGTCGAATGTAATGCTGAAAATCTATACCCTATACACTGAAAAAGAGCTTACAGTTGTTCATAACGCTTAAACAATAATTATTAGTTTTTAAGTACAGGAATTTGAAAGAATATGAAAAAAATTCTTGGGTATGTAAGACTCAGTTTCACTTTTTAGTCAAGCTTTGTGACATTTAACATTCTCATACTTATCACAACAGTTAAAAAAGGTTTTTCCCCCTTTTGTAGGCTGTCATTATTTGTATTAAAAATAAAGAATTTGAAAAGGCTTCAAAAATTTTGAAAAAACATATGTCCAAGGACCCCACAACTCAGGTAAATATAATATTTTGCTCCTAAAACTTAAATCCATGTCATTGTTTTTTTGTGGGAAATCAGGGAAAGAGTTGTTAGGAATGTTATGTAAATATTCCGCACCTTTAGCATGTTGTCTTTTATATCCAGGATATTTTACTATTAGATTGGCTTTTAAATTTTTATTTTTTATTACACAAATTAACGTAAGTCATTTATTTGCCCATTTATGTCTGGTTTGTGGCAGAACTTTAAGTGATCATCACCAGGTATCACACTATCAAGTTCTGTGTCACTTCTAACTTGACGGAATGCTGCCTAAATGCTGATTCTGTAGACCTGGGAAGCTTTTGTAAGGACGTAACTCCTATTTTCTGGTGCCGAAAGTTCTGTTGATAGCCTCTTCTTCTTGTCCTCCCCCCCTTATTTTTCCTTTAAATTTAAATTTTTGTAAAGGTAACATGTACATGATACAAAATTCAAGAGGTACGACCAAAGAGCTTGGTGAAACACTCTTATCTCTGACTTAGCCATCTCATTCCTCTCTCTCTTCAGAGGCCACCAGTATTTTCTGCTTTTATCTTTTCAGAGATATTCTGTGTATATGGAAGCAAAAAAGTGTGCATGTGTCTGTATATGGATATCTGTATACACACATATCCATTCTTCCTGTTCTTCCAATATACTTATGTGAGCATATTCTACACACTAATTTGAGTATTTTTGTAAATTGCTTCTTTCACTTACTCTATCTTAGAGGATCATGCTATATTAGCAGATAAAGAACTTCTTTATCATTTTTGTATTTTAAGTTCAAAAATCTACAAGTAACTGTATAAAGGCACTTTAGATCCTAAGTTCATCATTATTTTATAGCTGCATAGTAATGCATTGTGGCTGATCCATCATTTACTGACACACCCTTTGTGGTGGGCTCCCCTTCCTATGTGTGTACCAGTGATTTTCATTAAGAATGTTGGGAAATTTCTGACATTGTTGTCTCAACTCATCATTGAATGTTTACTAGTGTTCTCCTTTTCATGTTGCCAATATTGGTCCTTTGTATAGAAACTGAGAAGTGATCTCCTGAACATCATCCGTGAAAAGAACTTGGCCCACCCCGTTATCCAGAACTTTTCCTATGAGACCTTCCAGCAGAAGATGCTGCGCTTCCTGGAGAGTCACCTGGATGATGCAGAGCCCTACCTCCTCACGGTGGGCCTTGGCCTTCTCTTCCCGTAACCATGGCATGGCCTTGAGGATGCGTAGGCAATGAGAAAAGGATAACTCTTGTTAGGAGTGAAAAAATAAATGTGTGGGAAAGACTGAATTATATCCACTATCTATCTTAATTAATTAAATGCCTTAAATATACAGAAGCAGAGATGCTGACAGAGGCAAATGAAACAAAGCTGGTCTCTCTTACCTCCCATTTTTACCTCCTCTACGTGTGATTAATCTGTGTGGTTGATACAGGGGGAAATTCAGCTTACAATTGATGGTGGTTCCCAGAGGAGATGAAGTCTGAGTTAAATTGGGAGGAAGAGTGGTTTATTAGATGTGGTATGATGGGGTTTGTTAACAGGAAGAAGGCATAATTGGAGAAAAGGTGTGATTAGAAGTATAAGGCAGAAGAGGCCAAATGAAGACATTCTTTAATTGGATCAAAGAGAGAAGCATAAAGAGGGGAAACAGTGAGGCTCAGCAGTTTGTAGGAGAATTAAGAAGGTGGACGACGGTGAGGGAAAGCTGAGTGAACGGGCTTTTCTTAAACTTGGATTTTGAGAGTTGAAAATGTGGCTCATAATTATAGGTGTGCAAGACCTATATTAGGATAGTGTCAATGATCTTAGCAGTCATTTGGTATATCTCAAATTATTTGTAAAGCAGATCATTTGGAATAATCAGGAGCAAGTGTCAGGATACTAGGAACACTTAATAGAATGTTTGGACATGTGAATCAGATTCCCAAGAAGAGGAATGTGAAGTAAAATCACATAATTAAAGAATTTTTTCAGTGTCATGATGGATAGCGCTACTCAAATTGAGTTCTCCATCACAGAAACTGTGAGCCATTTTTTTTTTTAAAAAGAAAAGAAGGAAGTCTTGTAAGTTCTCTTGCTTTTTATGTCCTCTGGTTCATGCCTAGACTGGATTTATAGGTGAACATGTTTGCATACTGAGTGTGGTCATGGTTAAAGGAGCAGAGAATAATGAAATTCTGTGGCTTTCTCTTCCTGATGACATCCTTCCTTTCCCAGATGGCCAAAAAGGCTTTGAAATCTGAGTCTTCTGCTTCAAGTACAGTGAAGGAAGATAAACAGCCAGCACCAGAGCCTGTGGAAAAGCCATCCAGAGAACCTCCGAGGTGAGAGGTGCCCTTGTGATACAGGGTGAGATACTGGGGTGAGCTGTTGGAAGCACAGTCTCCTCCACAGAGCAAGATCAGTTAGTTTGTCCTGGTGATCTGACCTCCTAACTTGTTACTGGGTTGCTCATACAAGGCACTTTGTTTTGGTTTTTTTAAAAATATATTTTATTGATTTTTGTACAGAGAGGAAGGGAGAGAGATAGAGAGTTAGAAACATCGATGAGAGAGAGCCATCGATCAGCTGCCTCTTGCACACCCCCTACTGGGGATGTGCCCGCAACCAAGGTACATGCCCTTGACCAGAATCGAACCCGGGACCTTTCAGTCCCCAAGCCGACGCTCTATCCATTGAGCCAAACCGGTCTCGGCGGCACTTTGGAGTTACAGAGCACATCTGGGAAAGTGAGAATATTGGAGACTGGATCCCTGACAGAAATTCCTGACTGGCTATCCTCAAAGGTTCTGTCCCCTGTTTCTCTTTGCCTCACCCATATTTACTCAGCACTTCCTTGTTGATATCTCATCTGTTTAAATAGAGTGTTCAGACTGAATCAGATTCCCAAGACCAGTTGTGAAAGCAGGGGTCACAAATTAAAAGCCTTTGGGGGTTGGTGGAAAATGTAAAGGAATGAAGAGGGTCAAGGGTAACTGAGGGCTTGGACAGTGAACTGGGAGGGCATGCTTTCCAGCCTTTTGTGATTATTGCTGTGTGGCTATCCAGGATGCCCAAGCTTCAGTTCACACTTTTTTTTTTTTTTTAATATATTTTATTGATTTTTTACAGAGAGGAAGGGAGAGAGATAGAGAGCTAGAAACGTCGATGAGAGAGAAACATCTACCAGCTGCCTCTTGCACACCCCCTACTGGGGATGTGCCCACAACCACGGTACATGCCCTTAACCGGAATCGAACCTGGGATCCTTCATTCCGCAGACCGACGCTCTACCACTAAGCCAAACCGGCTTCGGCTCAGTTCACACTTTGTATGGGACGTACAATTTTTTTTTAAGCTTTCTAAAAAAATTTTACAATATATTTTATTGATTTTTAACAGAGAAGAAGGATGAGGGATAGAGAGTTAGAAACATCAGTGGGAGAGAAACATCCATCAGTTGCCTTCTGCACACCTCCTACTGGGGATGTGTCCGCAACCAAGGTACATGCCCTTGACCTAAATCGAACGTGGGACTCTTCAGTCCACAGGCTGACACTCTATCCACTGAGCCAAACCGGTCAGGGCTAGCTTTCTCAATTTTTAAATATTGGTAGTTACCCAGTTTTTTAAAAATACTTGCATAGGTCAAGCAAAGACACCTGTAGGCTGGGTTTGGCCTACAGGCTGCCAGTTTTCCCTCTGCTAACAGTTTTTACTTAAAGCACACTAGGTATTCCAAACGACAGATGAACTTTTTGAAAAGGCAGTTTTTTGCTGTTCCAAGAATGTATGGCATGCTTCTTACTTTGAGATTTCTCAAGGGTATTGTAGGAGAAAAGGGGCAGAATGGAGACCAGTCTTTCACTTTCGTCACATGAGGTTTGGACTGGGACAGCTGGAGAGTTTATAGACTTCAAGGTGAAATTGCTGGGTTATCAGTAGGTTGTCCAGATGGACTTATATTTGTCAGACTCTGTGTAAAGTTCTTACATAATGGAAAACACTGCTGTAGTCCATACAGACTAACAGGTTTGATCACACACAGGCGACAGAGGTCTCTGGAATATCCTTGGCCCTAGTTCCTTTAAGGTTCTCTGATTTGGAGTTTAAAATTCATAATTCAACTTAAAAGCTTTTGTAAAGTAAGGTTGTATCAAGCAATCTCTCTCCTGTTTTTTGTTGTTGTTGTGTTTTGTTTTGTTTAACCTCAATTTGAGGAGTCCTCTGCTAATATGACCATCAACAGTGGTGAAACTGCCCTGGCCAGTTTGGCTCCATGGTTAGAGCGTGTGGACTGAAGGGTCTAAGGTTTAGTTCCTGGTCAAGGGCACATACTTTGGTTGCCGGTGGTAGGGGTGTATGCAGAAGGCAGCCAATCGATGAGTCCTTCTATCAATGTTTCTCTCTCATCACCCCCCTTCTTCCTCCCTTCCACTCTCTAGGAATCAATGAAGAAAAAGTACCCATAGGTAAGATTTAAAAAAACAAGCAGTGGTGAAACTGATCTTAGTATGTTGCCTTATTTGTAGGCAGCTACGGAATACTCCAACCACCTTTGGAATGATGACTCTGAAAGCAGCTTTCAAGACTCTGTGCGGTTCACAAGATTCTGAAGCAATCTTCTCAAAACTGGACCAGAAAGATCTGGTACTTCCTAATAAAGCATCCCTCTCATCGCCAGCCCTCAAAAACAAGAGACCGAGAAAGAATGACAACGAAGGTTCAGCTCCTGCTGAAGGAGAGAGTGGCTCTGAACTGCAGCCCAAGAACAAGCGTATGACAATAAGCAGATTGGTTTTGGAGGAGGATAGTCAGAGTACTGAGCTGAGCTCAAGCCTCAACACCTCTCAGGAAATCATTCCAGCGCCACCATCCACACCTGCTGTTCTCAACCAAGCCCTTCCCAGGGAGAAGAATTCCAAGTACGAAGACCTTCTTTGTAGGAGTTTGGGGGCTGGTTGGTGGTCCTGGTTGGGCCTGGTATTGCTTCTGTGATGAAGTAACTTGCATCTAAACTATCTACCACCAAGGCTTGCTCAGACTGCTAGAATGTGACTCGGGAGTGGGGAGAGACAACCTAGCCATCTGGGCCAGTTCTGAAGCCCCCCATGTGGGCTTCCAGGCATTGCACGAGGGCACGAGGATGGAAGGGTCGGAGCCTCCTACTCATTGCTGCTGCCATTTTTAGCAGTCTTCTGAGTACCTTGACTACTAACTAGAGATTTACGAGTATTTACAGTTTTGCACTTTCTATGAGCTTTTGAGACTTGGCAAAAATTCAGTAAATATTTACTAACCTCTCACACTGTGCTAGGTTCTGTGGAGCAGTGGTTAGAATGCTTTCATCTTGCTCGCCCATCATGACCCCTGACCTCTCTTCTCAAGTTTTGCTCCCCTTTGTGCCCTCTGTGGGTCCTCCCTCCAGGCACACTAGTCTGCTTGCTCTCTCTGGAACACGCTGTTTTGTTTTTGTTTCTATTGCTGTATCCTTGCTCCCTGTCATTCCTCATGATTGGACTGTCATCCCTCCATCATTGCTTGTCAGAATCCCATCCGACCTTTAAAGGGAAGAGAAGCACTGTTTGTGGGCCAAGTACATTCATGTTTCATATTACTGAATCTATTCACTCCTCAGATTATTAGCCCCATTTTATAAACGAGGAAGGTTCGGAAAAGTTACTAACTGGTCTTAAGTCATTAATCCAGGTCAGTCCGGACACACAGGCCCAGGGCCTGTACATCACACACACCAGGCTGCCTCTTAAAATTCTGCTTCCTCCATGAACCTCCCTTCTGTAAGTGACCTCGATGCTAGGTGTCCTGCGGGGCTGTGGCATCTGATGGTGAGTCCTCCTCAGGCACTGAGCTGCACTGTATGCACCAATACCAGCATTTGGAAGTGAGCGAGTCACGGCTGGGCAAGTAGATGCAGCTCAACACACTTACTTTCATTCTAGACGTGATCTCCCTGACTTATAGTGATCTCGTGAGGTGTAGGTATTGCCCCATGAACAGATGAGAAAACTGGAAAGAGTACCTGACCACAATAGTTTTACTAATGGGAGGATTTGTGAACGTTCAGACATAACCACCTCTCATGTGCCAAGGCTATGATATGAAGTATGATGGACACTAAAGCAGAGGTCGGCACATTACAGTCCCTGAGTCCAATCTACCTGCTGTCTATTTTTGTAAAGGATTATTAAAATGCAGCCACATCTATCATTTATGGGATGTCTGGCTGAGTTGTCTGCAGCTACTTTTGATGCTACCTTGAGTTGAGTAGTTGCAACAGAGACATTTAGGCCTGGAAAACTGAAGATCCTATCTGGCCCTTTACAAAAAAGGGACCCCGTGACCCCGGCTCTAAGGGAAGTGTGTGTGAGGGGCCTGGGAAGCTTCTCGAAAGAAGAGATGAGCCTGCTCAGCAGGGTTGGTGGAACAAACCTTCCAGAGGAGCAAATGTTGAGCTGGCCTTGAAAGATGACCTCTTATTCAAGAAGTTATCAAGCATTTTGGGGACCTGGGGGTTCTAGGCAGCAGGAATCCCTTGCATAAAGGCATGAGAATATCTAGTATGTTCCAAAAAATGTCCTGTAGTCTATATGGCCGGGAATAAACAATGCACAGGGAGGAATAAAGTAGAAAAGTCTCAATAAGTAAATGGACCAGAACTTGAATTCCTATTGTTTCTATCGAGTGGAGGTTCTCAAACTAGGCTTCATATCACAATTACCTATGGAATATTTAAAAATACATATTCCCACGCCACTACTACTGAATTAGAAGAGGCCGGGGAATGCCCTGTAATCTGCTTTTCTAACTATGTCCAAACAATTCTTTTTTTTAAAAAATATATTTTATTGATTTTTTACAGAGAGGAAGAGAGAGGGATAGAGAGTTAGAAACATCGGTGAGAGAGATATATCGATCAGCTGCCTCCTGCACACCCCCACTGGGGATGTGCCCGCAACCAAGGTACATGCCCTTGACCGGAATCGAACCCGGGACCTTTCAGTCCGCAGGCCGAGGCTCTATCCACTGAGCCAAACCGGTTTCGGCTATGTCCAAATAATTCTAACCTCAGTAATCTAAAGGTTTGATGAGATACCAGTGAGGGTTTGTTAGAGGTACTGAGGGAAAGGAGAGTGGCTAGACCCTGCTGTCAGGGAACAGTCAGGACCTAGAGGAGCTGGGCCAGTGGGAGAGAGGAAGGCAGGATTAAAGTTTGTCACCTGGAGGGTAGGGCCATGAATTAGTAGGTTTTTATATCTCCCACGGCAGTTGGCATGAACAAGTGCTTGCTAGGTGTTTGTTCGCCAAATAAAATTATTGGTTTTTGTAATTTAAGGGATCACATGCAAAACTTCTATAAGGGACAGCAAAAGGTTAACATTTTAGGTTTTGTGGACCACATGTGTGTCTGTTGTGTATTTTTTGTTTTGTTTCCTTACAATGCTTTGAAAATATAAAATCCATTCTTAGTTTAAGGGTTGTTCAGAAACCATGAGCCACAGGCTATCCTGGCTTTCCCAGGAGCGCACTGCCACTAATGGGATGAAAATCCAGATCGCAGCCCCTTCCACAACACAAGAAGTGAACAAGTGCCAAACCATTTGTATGTATAATAAATGCCAAGTTGAGAGTCGGTGCAGGGGTTACCACTGAACTGCAGAGGCTATCTGCAGAAAGAGTGAACACCTACTCCGGTGAAAATGACAGACCCAGAGGTGAAAATCAATTTTATCCCAGCACTAGGATACATAGGTAGAAAACTTAAGACTTTTACTTATAAATAGTAATTAACAGCTAATGTCCTGAGAAAGAAAAGTATCCTTTACTTTGTCTCAAATTCGTTATTCTCAGAAATTACATTTTGGGAGATAGGATCCAATTAAAAAACAAAGGAGTCAATTAGGTCATTTCACAGAAAACTCATGGAACTCAAGGAATTCCCCCCCCCCCCAAAACCTAATGCACTTATTAAGCAAACTGCTTTCATTATTCATTTGCAAAATAACCAGAGAGTCTTAAAGATACGTATTTTGAGGGTGGGGATGTACACAGTGCTGAGCTTGAGGAGTCCTGCAGGCCAGTTAGGGTTTAGGAGTTGTATGTAGGTGAATCTTGAATGTGGTCACAGCAGAATGAGGAGAAATAGAGGGCTGCAAGCAAGCCAGGGACAGAATATGGAAGACCTAGGATGAATGTTTTACACCTTGTCTCATTGATCTCTCCGCAGATTACCCAAAGGCAAGTGGAACAGTTCTAATGGGATTGAAGAAAAAGAGACTTGGGTAGAAGAGGACGAACTGTTTGATGTTCAGGGTAAGCTAGGAGATTCTCCTTGGTTTCTCCTTGACACTCTCAAGTGTAAGATGCATGTTACTGTCACATCAATGTTTCAGAAACTGCTTTGTCTCCCGTGTAGAAAAATTTCAGTTCAGGAGTCAGTTATATGTCCTTTCCCATTAAACAATGAAGACTGTCAAAGCAGAACTTTGTATTTAATGAAAATTCCTGGTTTTGTTTTAATAAATCCTATGTTTAATTGTAATTGATGTTCTTTCTAAAGACTTTTAATTAGAAAAGGTAGAAGTGGTCATTCCCTGCATTTTTGTTTAAATACAAAAATCTCTTACCAATTTCTACATGTTTTCTAAGATGAGAAGCTTTGCTTTTCCATAATTATTATTGAACTTACTAGCATTTGCATTAGAATCTCTCCCATCATATATTTCATATTCTAATGGAAATATCTAAGAGCTAAACCTGAATTTTGGAGATTCTAAGCACTTTTATAATGCACCACTAACCAATCCATTGCTACTTCCTAGGTTTTGTCTTTTAGTAGCTTCAGTGGCAAAAACATAGTTGGAAAGATCAAGATCAAAGGGAAAATGGGGGAAGTAACAAAATCATTAACCGTGGCATTAAATAGTTAAGAACAACAGGATATAAAAGTTCTAGGAAACACCCACTTCCAATGCAGTACAGATGTGTGTCAGCTTTAGAAATATGCTTGCACTATAGTAAGAATTACTTAGTAATTTAAAAATAATCTGTCTGAGCCACCTTTCTCCATTGTTTAGGAAACACTGCTGGGACAGTGGCACCTGCTGAGATATCTACCGTTTTCCCGAAAATAAGACAGTGTCTTATATTAATTTTTGCTCCCAAAGATGTGCTAGGTCTTATTTTCAGGGGATGTCTTATTTTTCCATGCGCTAGGTCTTATTTTCAGGGAAACGCGGTAGCAAGTTTCATGTTTATGCAACGCTGCCTTGTCTCGCAGCTTTTTAACTAGCTCTCATTGCCTTGAAATGGCATGTCTTTTATACCTGTCCCAGAGGCCCCGTGCGCAGATCAGTGCACATTGAAATTAATTAGGTGGTGGCTGGCGGGGTGGGCCTGGGCGAGACAGGCTGGACATGCCCTGGAGCCAACACCTGGGGGAGTGCTGGGGCTCGAAGGGCATCTGTGGAGTTAGCCGGGTCCCTCCAGCAGGGTGGGGTCCCTTGGCCTGGCCTTCAGGAATCAGGCCAAAACCAGCAGTCTGACATCCCCCGAGGGGTCCCTGAGTGCAAGAGGGCATTCTGCAAAGTTGCTGTCGCTTAACTCCTGTGTTGAGCATCTGCCCCTTGGTGGTCAGTGAGCATCACACCTACCAGCCAGTCAGCCATTTAGCCTCTAGACTAGAGGCACAGTGTACGAAATTCGTGCATGGGTATGGTCTCTAGGCCGCATGCGTGCGGATCGAAGCATGAGTAAATGGTATGGAAGGGCAAGTCCCAGCTGACCTCTGGGCCCTCGGTATTCCCTCTGCCTGAGTCATTGGGCCCCCATCCAGCTCCCTCAGCACCTGGGAGTCGGTGGCGGCCCCACCCTGCCTCCGGTCACCATCTGAGGTGATTGGGCCCTGCTTGCACCACCTTGGCCTGGTGCTGCCCATTCACCTGCTCCACCATCCCGCCATGGTCCCGCTCTCATTGGGGCCAGCAGCGCCACTGCCAGTACCGCGCCACCCCCTGGTGGTCGGCGCACGTCAAAGCAAGCGGTCGGACAATTTGCATATTAGGCTTTTAATATATAGGCTTCTTCTTCTTTTTTTTTTTTTTAAGAGACAGTGGGGGGGGGGGGGGGGGAGAGAAACATCTTGATGTGAGAGAAAAGTAGACTGACTGCCTCCTTCACATGCCCAAACCAGGATCAGGGATCAAGCCAGCAACTGAGGTACATGTCTTTGACTGGAATGGAACTGGGACCCTTCAGTCCACAGGCGGATGCTCTACCCACTGAGCCAAACCAGCTAGGCATTACCCTGTTCTTTTGTTTAAGGAATTGAACCTAATTTTTCTTATATAAAATTATCAGGGATTTAAAAAATCTGACATGAGCCAAAGCCGGTTTGGCTCAGTGGTAGAGCATCAGTCTGTGGACTGAAAGGTCCCAGGTTCGATTCCAGGTAAGGGCATGTACATTGGTTGCGGGCACATCCCCGGTAGGGGGTGTGCAAGAGGCAGCTGGTCGATGTTTCTCTCTCATTGACGTTTCTAACTCTCTATCTCTCTCCCTTCCTCTCTGTAAAAAATCAATAAAATATATTTTTTTAAAAATCTGACATGAGATAGTAAAAGTTATTTCAAAATCGTAGTTAGCAAGAGGTTATAAAGCAGAAATCATGTATGTATAAGAAGTATATATATATTAGGGCTTTAAATACCACAGACAGTAATTTTAGAAAATGTTAAGTTTTATTAAAGAGCACCAAATCCATCATTAACCAACATTTATTAATGTCTCTTTGTAAAGTATTTGCTGTGGACAGATTTTCACAGGCTGAAATGATTGGTATCTTGCAAACAAAGGACAAAACCAAATTTTCCTTTAGTGATATCCTTTTCTCAAAGTTTGTGAAAATTCAATCAAGCTTTCCCATTTGAGACATTTTATGTCTTTTTCTGGTGTTTGTGCAGAGAAAGCTGAACTCTGAAATGACTCTACTTTTAATGTTTTCCAGCTGCACCGGATGAAGAGAATACAACCAGTGTAACAAAAAAGCAGGTAATTTAAAATTCTCTTTTCTGGTTGTGTGGGTAGAACAGAGGTAAAGTAAGTACTCACACCTCACAGATAGACTGCCCACACCCCTGGCAAAAAATCCTTTGCGTTTTTCTTATGATCCAAATGAAGTTAAACACAGCAGATCCTCAAGTAACGTCCTTTCGATCGATATTTTGTTATGATATTGATTAGATGCTATAGAAACTTAGGTCTTGTTTCTATTAATGAATTAGCCTAGGATAAAGTTGGTTTTGTTATATGTCCTCTTACTTAAAGTTGCCTTAACTGAGGGCTTACTTGCAGTTATTCTCTGAAAGAAAAATCTAGTTGGATAGCAACCTGACACATGTTCCCGACCATGAACAACACACGTTTGAAGCTTGACTACATACGTGATTATTAATTGAAGATGATTATTAATTGAACATTTAAATACCTAAATCCAGTGTTAATTTATTATCTGTATTGGGTTTTAAAAACATAAAACTTTTTTTGGGGGTTCATATATTCTCTAAGATTTCTTGAGTTTACCTCTTCACTGTATGGAAATGTAAATAAGTGGAGAGCCAAGTTATGATAAATCTTTTTGTTTTCTTTTGCAGAAGTGGACTGTGGAAGAGAGCGAGTGGATCAAGGCTGGAGTGCAAAAATTTGGGGAAGGAAACTGGGCTGCCATTTCTAAAAATTACCCATTTGTTAATCGAACAGCTGTGATGATTAAGGATCGCTGGCGGACCATGAAAAGACTTGGCATGAACTGAAACAGATTTCGCTTCCACAGAATTCACAGGAGCATGGTTCCTAATGATAGCCCCGATAGTCTGCTTTCTTTCAGAAGTTGGGCTGGGATGAATATTTTGGGCATCCTCCTCTGACGTGGGGGAGGTCCCAGTTCCACTTCATCGCTGTTGGAGATCATGGAGCTACAAGCCAAGTATACTCCATGTCCTTGGCAGAGACGACAGGCAGACAGCTTTTACAGTGCCAGAATATCATTAGTATTTCCCTTCTTCAGTGGTTTGCTTGAATTTCAATTCCTGGTGATCAGTAGGACCTTCTCCTAGGAAATGGTGGAGTCTGTTAGGAGCACTTATGACTCCATGACCTGTTAAAACCAGCAACATGAGCATTATTTGGAGTGAACTTGTTCCAGGTAAAGCTTTGGCCTTTTGATGCAAATGCAAAGGAACTTTATCAGAGCTGATGAGAGACCAGTCCTGTTTAACCTGTTGTGACATCAACACCTAGATCTAGTGTTGGCATTTGCTCCTAATATTTGCTGGGCTACATAGGCTGGTTTAACCTCTACTTATGTGGTTGAATCCCAGTGTGTTTTTTTTTGGTGATTGTAGATACGCTTAGCCCCTTGCCCCATTCTCTCTTCCCAATTCTTGTCCTTATGCTGGACTTTTAAAGCTAAAAAAAAAAAAAAAAAAAAAAAAAAAAAAAAAAAAAAGGCCCAATCCTGTTCGAATATAAAAACCTAATCCCATTCTTTGTGAAAATGGTTGCTTCCACCCGATTCCCTAATTGTGCTATGTTAGTGTCTTGCACTGGAATTCAACATTTCCTTTTGTACTGTGTTGTGCTTGCTGTCTCTCTTGGACATCCTTAAAGACTGTCTTTTTAGCAAAAAGAAAATTCAGTAAAGTGTTTTCTGTAATCATTTTTTAAAATTTGAAAACTAATTATTGTCCATAACTTGTAGCCTTCTTCATTAAAGTCTTGCTTCTCTCAAATAGAAGTGGCTGTTTAATTGCAGCTCAACATGTATGAACACACGGAGGTGACAAAATGTTAAACAACTTCTGCTGAACCACGCTGACTGTTAAAAAGCGATGTTAAACTCTCCTGGATATTGTCGTCCTTGGAAGCCACCGGGAACCTTTTTCTCTTTGGAGTGAAAGATGTAAAGAAATGCTAAAGTTTCAAATTCATCCTGTAGTTACAAGTCGGAAGCTTTGTACAGCTCTATTACCTGTTAACTGTGTGTTGGGGGGTTTGGTACTACTATTTTTTCTGTCAATGAACCCCAAATGAAATGACAATGAGAACTTGATCTTCTCCCAATACAGCCACCTCCTCTTGATCTGGTGGCAGCCTGTGTGGTCTCCCTCTAAACTGGATTCGGATTCCAGAATCTTTTCTTCCCTCAACTCACTTCCGTAAGACGGCGTGCTCTGTGTAGAAGAGTGACACTGCAATGATTTAGGGAAGCAACATATCCTAATCAGCATTTCTCAAATGTGAAAAATGTACAGGTCCATGAACATTTTTTTAACATCGCTTCAGTGTTGTTATAATGTTAATGAAGTGTGTACAAACCAAAAACAGACTTTGGCTTCTAGAAAACTTACCATGTACTGTTGACTGTTTTGCTGAGTCTAAGTCACTGCTCACAACATGAGTAGTGTAAAAACTGTGGCGGGGGGAACGTGGGTGGGTGCCTGTGCCACAGTGTGCTGAGAAATGGTTCGTCTCTCCCACCTCCACCTTAGCAAGAAGACTGCCGTGACATCCACTCTCCGGAACTGAACACAATTAGAAGTCTGTTCCTTGCGTATTCCCTTGTGATAGTTCAGGTCTTACACTTGGAATCAATGTGATGAATCTGAAGCAAGACTTGCTTAGAAACTGTTTATGCTGTTTTGTTTTTTAAGATTATGGCTGAAATAAAAACATTTAGACATTGGCACGACTCAGAGAGTGACAGAAACTGTTCTGGTGGGTAAGAGTGTGAGGCCCACTCAGGGGCCCTGCAGTGCCAGCTGTGCTTATGGATGGTGAGCCAGCCCTGGAATCTCTGAAAGTCCATTTCTGTCTTTTGCTCACTCTTCACCCATTTAAATGTTTGCACACGTTTTCATGGGTTTTGTTCTCTCAACTATAAAATTGGGTATCATCTAGCAATTTGATTTGCATAAGATAAAAATCTCCCCAGCCAACTTCTGTCTATACTATTCAGATGACTGTAAATAAACTTACTCAATATTTATCCCCAAGAAGCAAGAACTAAAGAAAAAAAAAGACAGTTAAAAGGAAGGATGGAGATAAATCATAGTAGATTCTACCTCGCCCCCCAGGAAGTAGGTTTGGTAAGCCACTAAGTTTTTTTAGGTGGAAGGAAAAACTTCCTGTGACCCATACACGGGGTATCATGCCAGTTCTATTGTGAATATCTATGTGTGGCCCTGAAGCCGCCAGCCCAGGTATGACTTGTGGAGTTAATGATTATCCCAGCAGTTATATAAACTTACTTGGCTCCACTGGGCTACCGGCAGTTCACCTGCAGAGGAGTCTCCGGGAACCAGCATGTTCCCTTTGCTCATTGGGGCTGGACTGATGGTTCTGAACCTAGTGACCCCTGCCAGATGCCAGAAAACAGAACCCCTCAGTGGCTCTGGGGACCAGCTACTCTTCCGGGGAGCAGATCGCTATGACTTTGCCATCATGATCCCTCCAGGAGGCGTAGAATGCTTTTGGCAATTTGCCCACCAAAGTGGATACTTCTATTTCAGCTATGAGGTAGGTACTTGGGCTCCTCTGGCCACATGGGAGAATTTTTTTTGTTTCCTTTTGTAAAGTGGGTCAAGTCCTAGACTAACATGAGGTTCTGGTTGTCTTTACTGTGCTGTGATTCTCCATCTGTTAATGAAATGGCCCTGCAGTTAGATGGAAATCCTTAGATGAATAATCACTAAAACATATGGCTTGGCTTCCCAAGCTGGAGGCTATGGCAGTGTGCTCAAAGCCAGGAGAGAAACGGCATGCCTCTTCTGGAGAAACCATCATCACATTTACTCAGATTTGGAGATGAGAAAATACATTTTTAAAATATTAAAATAAGGCGGATCTGGAAAGTCACATGAACTTTAAAGAGATTTCAAAAAGATACCAGTTTATGGGGCTGGAAGAGCAACATTTAGTCTCCTGCCTTTAGGGGTAATTCTGGCAAACTGAGGGTCACTGGCTCAACATTTCTCTATCGGGCCAGACAGTCCTGTTTGTGTTAAGAAGGTAAATGTTTTCAACCTGCCTGTTCACAGGCCCGGTACTTCAATCCGTCCCACTCAATAGTGAAGTTAGAGGCGGTTCATTCCCTTGGTTTTTCATTTTAGAAACCTTAACTTTCTAATCTGCTCACATAGTAATAGATTCTGAATACTGACCTTACTCCACTGTAACTTTAAGACGTATTCTGCCGAGCTGCTGTGGCTCCAGGAGGTCACCATTTGATTCCCCGTCAGGACACATGCCCAGGCTCCATCCCCAGTAGGGGACGTGCAGGAGACAGCCAATAGATGATTCTCATCATCCATGTTTCTATTTCTCCCCCTCTCTGAAATTTAAAAAAATGTTTAAAAAACAAAACAAAAACTTATCTTAAATGAATTTACCAGAGCTTTTTCTTATCTTTAAATTGTGATGAAAGAGTAGTTATAGTCAGCTCACTGTAGCCTGGGTTTATCAAGACCCAGCGTGGCAGTGAGTGCCTACTGAGTGCCTTATTCGCTAGGAAGCATGAAATAAGCCCCAGTGTGTGAGGACACCACCAGGGAGCTCAAAGCCACGCTAGTTCAGTCAAGGCTACAACCAGAATCTTGCACACCAGCCGATGTAGGCCTGCTGTAAGGTCTGCGACATGTCTTTTTTATAGGCGTGCCATCTGCATTTGGGGCAATTCTTTGTTCCTAACACGGCAGGATGTTCATCTTTGCTGTCTCTCCTCACCCCACTGCCACACTATTAACTCAATTCGAATTCCCAGAGGGGTGGACAGCACCATCCCTGAGAACCACATAGGATATCAATCTTACCACTTCACTAGCTTCTTGGTGACGAATCAGGGACTGTTCTCCCTCTTTCATGTGTCTTGGCAGGTTCAGCGGACACTGGGAATATCTCATGATCGGCATATTGCTGCCACTGCACATACCCCACAAGGTTTTCTCATAGAAACCTCTCAGAATGTCCGGGGCCAGATTAACTTCTCTACCCACGAGACAGGTCTGTTTTTATAACTATTCTAATGGCTATTCTAATAATCGTCTTTTTTTTTTTAAATTGGGAAAAATGATGAAGTATTGAAATTAAGTGGCTAAGATGTGAAAACCCTGGCTTTTTTGCATAGGATGGTAAAACAGTAGGAAAAACTTAAGCCTGGAACACCATAAACCGGTTTTCCTGGAGACAGCCAGTGACCAAGTCTCCAGGTGACTAATTACAACTCCAGGGTCCAGAAACTCAATTTTATCTCATCACCCCCAACTAACCAGAATATGGGAAACAGACAGACTCATTAAAAGATACAGGATTTCATTTGATAAATTTATTATGGGATGACATCTCTTTCCAGTCATTGGAATACATGACCCAGTTACCAAAAAGCACCCAGGACAAGAGGAAATGCACAGCCATGAAAAATATCCACATCCCACAGCAAAGCACTTCTCTGGTCACCAGCAAAGTCCTACAGCCAGATCGAGCTTGTCCCCATCTGGGACAGCACCAGTCAGCAGCACTCTACCAGCCAGGTGTACAAAAAGAGATGTTTTTCAAGGAGCATAGACGATCCTTCACTTTGTAGCATTATAAGATATTTAGCATCTTTGGCCCCTCCATGCCAGTAGTGCCTTCCAACCATTTCGATAAATACACTCTCACACACACAAGAGGAGGCGACCCCAGCTGAAAACCAGCACCAGTTTATGCCCTGAACCATCAGTCCCTGTACAGACCACCTAGCAGTTAATCATTTCTTTCATTCACAACACATCAATTTTTGCCTCGTTTAAGTTTGAGATGGTATCCTCCGGCTCTTAATTTCAACTCAATTTGAGAAATTCCTTGAGATAATAGGTTGAAAAAGGGGAAGGAAACACTAATTTCTCTATAGACCACTAGTAATATCTGCCAAAACATGATTATTATAAGTAATGTTGAGTAAAAGTTTCATGTAAGATCAATAATACCTTAATGAAAAAATGAATAAAGTTTCATGTAAGATCAGTGTAACTTCTACATCAAAAGTTGGATAGCTGTACTTGCTAAGTAAAAAGGTGCTAATTAGCACACTGACCTCTGGAGAACCGTTTTCTCCACACCTAGAGAGTGAGATCAAAAAGGGTGGGAGACCAAGACTTGGTAATGATCCAGGGATTCCTACAGGTTTTTATCAACTTTGTCTAAAAAATCAGCAAAATCACTTTGGTTCTGTGCAAGTGTACCTCAATTTTGGAGTCTTCTATGAAGAGCCTGAGATAGACCATAAACAGAACGAAAGAAAACAACTGAATGACACTCTGGATGCAATTGAGGTAACTGTTTTGTGGGAAACATCCATGGAAACACATTTTAAATTTGGAAAAAGATAAAAAATATGGGAGTGATAGTATTTGAGCTGAGAAACCAAACAGGCAAGGGGAGTTGTAGCCTTTAGTTTTTATGACTTGTTCTTGTTTTATACTTTTTGGCTCCATAAATGTGCCCATTTTGTACATTTCATATGAGTGAAATTACACAATGTAGCCTTTTGTCTCTGGCTTCTTTCATTTAGTATGTTTCTAAGGCTCATCCATATTGTATCATGTATTTAGTATTTAATCCCTTTTTACAGCTGACTAATATTCTATTGAATGGATATACCACATTAGTTACCCACCCATCAACTGACAGATATTTGCGTTGTTTCCATTTTTTTTTTGTCTATCATGAATAATGCAGCTGTGAACATTTGCATAAGTTTTTGTGTAAATGTGGCTTCATTTCTATATAAAGTAATGTACTGGGTCATACAGTAACTGACTGAGGAACGGCTGTTTCCCACAGTGCCTAAACCATTTTACTCTCCCACCAGCAGGAAATTTCTCCACATCTTCACGCTTGTGAGTGTGAAATGGTATCTTGTGATTTTGAATTGTTTCTAATGTCACTGAGCAGCTTTTCAGGTGTTTTTCATCATTTCTCTTTGGAGAAATGTCTATTTAAATCCTTTGTCCACTTTAAAACGGGGTTGTCTTTTTATTTTTTAGCTAGAGAGCATCCAGGTGAGGCTAGGTGGGGGTAGGGAGGCATCCTTTCTTTATTTCATTGTCTGTCCCACAGGAAAGTACACGAAAGGTACAGAAAAATATCTTTCACATGTGGCGTCATTACAACTTTGCCCGCATGAGGAAAATGGCTGACTTTTTCCTTCTCCAATCAAACTATAACTATGTGAACTGGTGGTCGATGGCCCAGAGCCTTGTGATTGTTCTTTCTGGGGTCCTGCAGCTGTACTTCCTGAAGCGTCTCTTCAATGTTTCAACGACTACTGACACAAACAAGCCAAAATGCTAAGCAAAAATAATTACAGCGTGCTGGCTCTTTTCTTCCGGGGGGGAATCTTGTCAAAGCTTTGTTAAATCAGCTTTGTAAAGTTACTGGGGGGAAAAAATCAATTTCTCCTATTAGAAAGTTTTAGTTTACTGCACTCATCTACTGAGGCAAAATGGCAATAAAGGAATAAAAATGTATAAGTTTGGATGTTGGCTATTTTTGAAAAAAAAAAATATTTTATTGATTTTTTACAGAAAGAAAGAGAGGGATAGAGAGTTAGAAACATCAATGAGAGAAAAATCATTGATCAGCTGTCTCTTGCACATCCCCTACCGGGGATGTGCCCGCAACCAAGGTACATGCCCTTGACCGGAATCGAACCTGGGACCCTTCAGTCCGCTGGCTGACGCTCTATCCACTGAGCCAAACCGGTTTCGGCAAGATGTCGGCTATTTCTAATGTACGCACCAAATGCTACTACCAGTCCCTTAACCTTCACCAAGTCTATTTATTTTAAATATTTTTTATTAATTTAATCTCTCTCTCAAGAATTAAATATTATTAATTTCAAAGAGAAAGGGAGAGGGGGAGAGACAGAAACATCAATGATGAGAGAGAATCAAGGCACACCCCACATTAGAGATCCAGCCCACAACCCAGGCATATGCCCTGACTTGGAATCAAACCTTGACCTGGTTCATAGGTCGACACTCAACCACTGAGCCATGCCAGCTGGGCCACTAAGTCTATTCAGAGGCTAAGAGGACTGGTGAAGAGAAAAGAGTTGAAAAAATGGGTCAAAAAGCATTCTACAATCGGTAGAATGCTTTTTTGTAGTTAAAAAATGTTTTATTTTTTGAAACGTCATCTTTGGGATTTCAACAGTATAATCATTAGGAAATTTGTTTTACAATATAGGTAGTTTAAAAAGTATTTCCCTGTGAAATTACTTTCATTTTAAAAATATTTTAATTCTAAAAATGACTTCAGGAAGCACAAGGAAGAATGAAGGCGGTAAATTATTTCAGGGTCTCTGATTAGTGCTTTTTGTCTAGTTCAGTAAGGTAAGTAAAGGTTCATAAGGGAAATGTTTTAGGAAACCAAGGTGATGAAAATAACATTCAACCTGAAATCACCATCCAGGAAAAGATGCAGAAAACAGCTTGCAAAAATCAAAATAATATAATCAAATTATACTCATTAGATCCTATGCTTAGTAGCAGAAACACTCAGTATATATGCAACATAAAAACAATTCTTACCACTTAGCACCTGTCATTTGCTAGGCAAATTCTGAAAACCATTCTTAGGTAGATGGTTTTTTGAAACAGAAGAAAATGAAGCTCACTAAAGTTTCAATGACTCATCTAAAACATCAGAGCTGGTAGATATTAGAACTAGGTTTATGATCCAAGTTTTCTTCCACACCACACAGCACTCATCAAAGGAAGACTAGAAGAATAAATTGCTTAGTATTTTATCCAAATTTCATTTGTAAAATCCCAGACATGGCCAACTCTTCTTATACAGCAATATCTACCTTCCTAGTATTAATAAATAAGAAAACCTGTTGTATTCTTAACATGAGCTTGGACAAGTGTTATCACAGATAACAATAAGCTATTCTTGTCCTCAATTCCAATGATTTAGAATCTTTCACTGAAAATAAGAGGCCCTGATTGAAATACAAAAAACACGATATTCTATTTAGTAACAAACACAAACACCCGAAATGCCATTTTTGACCCATTCCTGCTCAGTAAGAATCCAGCCTGCATTTGTCCATATCAAGCTAAGTAGTCCCTGGAGAGATCACAGTGCTGGCCAAATTCAACAAGATGGTGGAGCCTACACAGACACGGGAAACAAAGCTAGGCCCTTCCACACAGCCACAAGTCCTCTCGATGATTTCGTTTTAAGTCAACGTCTCTTCATGTCGCACATATTCCCCAATGTCTGCTTGATGAAATACCACAATCGCCATGGGGTCTACTCTCCTGCAGTCTTGTGTAGACTTTGCTGCCACCCCAAAACCCTGGGATTCAAAAGAAGAGACACTGATTCACTCAAGTCATTCAACAAGCAAGCACTGAAGGCTGGAAATAACAAAAGACATTAAAAAAAAAAATTAACAGTTCTCTGAGAAACTCAAACATTGCTGAGAATTTAGTCTCACAAGCCCACAGACCGCAAAAATACATCTTTCTTGAATTAAAAAAAAAAAAAAAATCTTTAATTTATGCAACAGCTACCATCTGTACTCACCAAAGGGATGTCTGCCATGGAGTACACCACCACTCCCTGGTACTGAGACGTGTTTTCAGTGATTCGACCCAGTCCAGATTTCAACACGTGATTCCCATACAGGAAGGACTGCTCTGCTCCAGGCTTTATCCACACTTTGTACTACATAAAAAGAGAATAAAAAATCCCAAAACAAAAATATTAACAAGCGATATCCCTGCAGATACGCTAGCGGCTGGATCTCGGATGGATTTCTTGAAAGATGCATATTTTCCTCAAATTGTTCATCCCCTACACAGAACTGCCAGATTCTTTCTTTCCTCCACTCTATGAGCTACACCTTCTCCTATGGATAGTTTAAACGGCTCTTTTTCTGGACCCACTCTGCCCCTCATCACAGCCACCTACTTGCTTTTCGATCTTCAGCTGGGTTTTTGCGCAGGCTTTTCTATTTTGCTGGAGATAATTACAAACGGGTAGTCAGGGGACTCCTGTCACGGGGCCCTTGCCATACCTACAAACCTCTCCACGTGCTGGTGCTGATGCTGGTAGCAGAGAAGCTGCCCAACCCAACTCTCTGCGTCCAGATAGAGGTGGCCCTCAACCCTGCCCTCCTCCATCCCCAGTGGCCGACCGGAAACCCGCCCCACAAACCTTGGCATAAGGTGCCAGGTAATCCAGAGCTGTGATGTGCAGCCGGAACTTGTGGGTCTTCGTGAATTTCCCGAAGCAGGTCCCCAGCGACACCAGCTTGTCACCGGAGATGTTGGCGGCCAACTTCAAGATCTTTTCACTAAAAGGGCGAGGAAGAAGGAGGTGTCATTATAAGGGCGCGAGGGTGACCCAGACCCCCCCCCCCGCCCCCACCACCACCCGGGTCCGTGCTGCCCGCCGGGCCCTCCTCACCTCACGTAGTACACGCGGTCGTTGTGCAGCCTGAAGCAGTAGGTGCCGTCGGGCCTATCGACCAGCAGCTGAAGGTTCTCCCCGATGCTGCGGACGAGAGGCGCACTGGAGGCCGCGTCCTCAAGGACCGGTCCGGCCCCGGCCCCGGCCCCGGCCCCGGCCCCGCGCCTCACCCCGCCCCCTTCCCTTCCCACCACACGCACACCCTCCTCCGCCCCTCCCGCGCGCTTACTATTTCGCTATCTTCTCAAACATGACGCGAGTCTCCTCTTCAGTCAAAGGCCGCATTTTCCCGCTGTTGGAACACCGGATCCTCGTGCCTCAGCCGCCGGAAGAGGAAGTCAGCCGCCAGCCTGCCTCTCTCCCTGGCAACCGTAAAGCCCGCTTCCCATTGGTTCCCCCCACGCCAGCGCCGCCCAATCAGAAACCGTCAAGACGGCACGTGCGCCTCGTGGCTTCCGGTCCTAGACTCGGAGTCAGCGCGCGCTCTCTGGACCGGAAGGGGAAGTGACGCTGCTGCCGGGAAGATGGCGGCGATGGAGGCAATCTCGTCCTCCGCGACGGCTCCCGCCACCGCCACCGCCACCGCAGCGGCTCTCGGGGAGGTGGAGGATGAAGGGCTCCTGGCGTCGTTGTTCCGGGATCGCTTCCCGGAGGCCCAGTGGCGGGAACGGCCCGACGTGGGCCGCTACCTCCGGGAGCTGAGCGGCTCCGGGCTGGAGCGGCTGCGGCGCGAGCCCGAGCGCCTGGCGGAGGAGCGCGCCCAGCTGCTGCAGCAGACGCGCGACCTGGCCTTCGCCAACTACAAGACCTTCATCCGCGGCGCCGAGTGCACCGAGCGCATCCACCGCCTGTTTGGCGACGTGGAGGCGTCGGTGGGCCGCCTGCTCGACCGCTTGCCCAGCTTCCAGCAGAGCTGCAGGTGCGGTGGGCGGTGCCAGAGGGGCTTTTAAACAACTGCAATAGTGACATTTACTATGGTGGATATAGCACACAGTTAACGTAGCGCTTACATGTCCCAGGCTCTCCAAGCACTTTATTTATTTTTATTTTTTAAATATATACATTTTATTGGGTTTTTTTACAGAGAGGAAGGGATACGGAGAGTTAGAAACATCAATGAGAGAGAATCATCGATCAGCTGTCTCCTGCACACCCCCTACTGGGGATGTGCCCGCAACCAAGGTACATGCCCTTGCCCCTAATCAAACCCGGGACCCTTCAGTCCGCAGGCCGACGCTCTATCCACTGAGCCAAACCGGTTAGGGCTCTCCCAGCACTTTATTAATTCATTTAACATTCACAACAGTCTGTGAGGTAGGTACTGTTTTTTCCTTTTTATTTGTGAGGAAGTTGAGATGGAGAGGTTAGTGATGGTCGAAGGGCCCAGCCGTTACGTTTATTAGTCAAAATTGGAACCCAGCAATACGTCCGTCCCTCAGAGGGTTGTGTGAGCAGAGCACCAAGAGAATCCATGCAAAACAGAAAGAGTTGGGCCCTGACATACTTAACTGTCAACAATTGGCAGCTTACTAGATAAGCATATTTATGTAAATATACATAAACACACCTATAGACACAACGCATACAACAACTCGGACCAGAAGTCTTCTGCTCCAAAACTTTCTTTTTTTTTTTTCTTTTTTTTTTTAATATATTTTATTGATTTTGTACAGAGAGGAAGGGAGAGAGATAGAAACATCCATGAGAGAGACCTGCCTCTTGCACACCCCCTACTGGGGATATGCCAGCAACCAAGGTACATGCCCTTGACCGGAATCGAACCCGGGACCTTTCAGTCCCCAAGCCGACGCTCTATCCATTGAGCCAAACCGGTTTCGGCTGCTCCAAAACTTTCATTGATAGGACACTGACAAGGAAATCCTACCATTTGGGGTTGGCAAAAATTATTTTTTTTTAAAAATTCCTTCTTTTTGAGTCATATTCTTCTTCCTTAAACCCTCAATCCATTATCCCTAGTTCTGCTTTCCAGCCTTTCATGATAAACGTGTTTTTTTTAAATTATTAAATATATTTTATTGATTTTTTACAGAGAGGAAGGGAGAGAGATAGAGAGCTAGAAACGTCGTCGATGAGAGAGAAACATCGACCAGCTGCCTCTTGCACACCCCCTACCGGGGATATGCCCACAACCAAAGTACATACCTTTGACCGGAATCGAACCTGGGACCTTTCAGTCCACAGACCACTGCTCTACCGCTGAGCCAAACCGGTTTCAGCTCATGATAAATGTTTTTAAGTGTTCTTTTGAATCTCTGGCTAATTGACAATAGTTTTTGTACCCTTCTACCCACCCCAGAACAGATGGGGGACTTCCTGAAACGGATCTCTGCTATTATGCAGAAGAAATGGAAACTGGTGGGAACCAAGGTTAACAACAGCATAGGAATAGGTTGAGCTGTTATTAAAGGAACATTTAGTCTGAGTCAGGTACTGTGTTAAATATTTTACACACATCATCTCATTTAATCCTCACATCCTTAATTATTATTATTTTACCAATGAGGAAACAGTTAGGAAAGCCTAGCTACCTTGCCACAGCTAGTTAAGTGGCAAATTTGGGTTCAGATCTTTACCATTTGCTAGTTGTGTGGTCTTGGACAGGTCGCTTAACCCAAGATTAAAGTTTCTTCAAGGGTACTTACCTCATAATTTGGTTTGAAGATGAGATCAAACCAGCCCGCCTAGTGCCCAGTTCACAGTAAATGCTGACTAATTGCAATCAAGGTTTGGGTGCGGAGCAGTGAGCAACCAATATTCTTCCGATTGCCCCAGGAACTTTGTGAAGGAGGCCGAGGAGATCAGCTCCAGCCGCCGGATGAACACCCTGACCCTAAACCGGCACACGGAAATCCTGGAGATCTTAGAGATTCCCCAGCTCATGGACACCTGCGTCCGGAACGGCTACTACGAGGAGGCCCTGGAGCTCGCAGCCTACGTCCGCCGGCTGGAGAAGAAATATTCCTCCATCCCCGTCATCCAGGTAGCCCGCCTCCCCCCCCAGAGGGGACTCACACCGATGTTCTTGGAACCAGTAACTCTGTGGTCATCGCTGAACCTTTAGGCAGAAACTTTATATGTTTCACATCAGTTGCTGCCAGCCAGTCAGGCTGGAACACAAACATATTAATACATTCACTCATTTATTCAACTGAGAAATACGAGCCCGTGTGGCCAGGCACTCGCTAATCTAGGGGCTGGGCGTGCAATGTGAACAAAGCAAACAGGGCCCTGGCTCTCATGAGCGGAAGCTGATAGTTGGCAAATGAACAGGTAAACAATAGGATCCGTTTAGACAGTGACTGTCTAGAGAAAACCCAGGGGAAGGGATGGAAGGAGACCAGGGTGAGTTACTCTAGGGCCGTGGTTCTTAACCTTTCTAATGCCGCTACCTTTTAATACAGGTGACCCCCTAACCATAACATTATTTTCGTTGCTACTTCGTAACTGTAATTTTGCTACTGCTAATGAATCGTAATGTAAATATCTGTGTTTTCCGATGTCTTTAGGCTCTACAGCAGCGGTTCTCAACCTGAGGGTCGTGACAGGGTCACTTAAGACCATCGTGAGGTCACCACAACATGAGAAACTGTATTACAGGGTCGCGGCATTGGAAAGGTTAAAAACTGTGGCTCTAGGGAGAGGGGTCAGGAAAGGCTCTTCTGGAGAGAGAACATGTAAGCTCAGACCCAGAGAAGAAGGACCCAGCCACGCGTAGATGTGAGGGGAGAGGGCAAACCAGAACCTTGGAAAGAACAAGCACAGCAGGCTGAGGAGGGAAGTTGGAGTGTTAAAACATACGAAGACAGCCCAGCCAGGGGGGCTCAGTGATTTGAGCGTTGACTTACGAACTAGGAGGTCACAGTTCCGATTCCTGGACAGAACACGTGCCCAGGTTTCGGGCTCGGTCCCTGGTTGATGGTATCCAAGAGGCAGCTGATTGATGATTCTCTCTCATCGTTGATATTGCTGTCGCTCCCTCTCCCTTCCTCTCTGAAATCGATAAAAATGTATTTAAAAAAAAATACAAAGACAGCCAGTGGGACTGGTCTGCAGTGTGCAAGGGGAGAGCATGAGGAGGCCGGTGAGGTAGGAGAAGCAGGGCCATGGTGACCCAGGATGGGTCAGTTTTAGGAAATCTTCCCATGTTAGGAAAGCAGGGGGGCATATTCAGGGTTGTGGTGTGACTCGCCCCTCCGCATTGCCAGGGCATCGTGAACGAGGTGCGCCAGTCCATGCAGCTGATGCTGAGCCAGCTGATCCAGCAGCTGCGGACCAACATCCAGCTCCCCGCCTGCCTCCGCGCCATCGGCTTCCTGCGGCGCATGGACATCTTCACGGAGGCCGAGCTGCGGGTGAAGTTCCTTCAGGCCCGAGACGCTTGGCTCCGTTCCATCCTGACGGCCGTCCCCAACGACGACCCCTACTTCCACCTCACGAAAACCATCGAGGCCTGCCGCGTCCACCTGTTTGATATCATCACCCAGTACCGGGCCATCTTCTCGGACGAGGACCCGCTGCTGTCCCCCGCCCCCGGTGAGCACGCCGTGAACGAGAGCGCCATCTTCCACGGCTGGGTCCTGCAGAAGGTCTCCCAGTTCCTGCAGGTGCTGCAGACCGACCTCCGCCGCGGCGTCGGCGGCCGCCTGGACTCGCTGCTGGGCCAGTGCATGTACTTCGGGCTGTCCTTCAGCCGGGTGGGGGCCGACTTCCGGGGCCAGCTGGCTCCCGTCTTCCAGCAGGTCGCCATCAGCACTTTCCAGAAGGCGATCCAGGAGGCGGTGGAGAAGTTCCAGGATGAGATGAACTCCTACACCCTCATCTTGGCTCCGGCCATCCTGGGCGGCAGCAACCTGCCTGCCGCGGTGCCCGTGACCCAGCCGGGGACCCTGCAGCCGCCCATGGTGCTCTTGGACTTCCCACCCCTGGCCTGCTTCCTCAACAGCGTCCTGGTCGCCTTCAACGACCTGCGCCTCTGCTGCCCCATAGCCCTGGCGCAGGACGTGACCAGGGTCCTGGAGGACGCCCTTGCCAAGGTGAGCACATGCCGTCGGCTCTCTGTTGGAACCTTCTTTGGTGACGGAAGGCCAGGCGTTGGTAATAAACCAGGCCGCATGGCAGTGGTGACTGCTGACTTACAGAGGCCTGGTGTGGCTCTGGAGGTTTGTAATGGCCGAGCCACTCTGAGCCGGTCAGTCTCCCTTCATGGAACCTACAACAGCCCACGGAGAGGCTAACCTATAGTCACGATTCTGTAATGTATTCGCTTTCTGTTACTGAGTAACGAACTCCCACACACATTGATCACTCCCAGTTTGTGTGGAGCAGGAGGCCAGGCGCAGCGTCTGGCTCTTTGACTCTTCAGGGCCAATGGAAGAGTATCTCCTGCACGAACCTCTTTTAGGGAAGTCATCGGCCCTCTCGTAAAAGGCCCATTTGATTAAATCAGGCCCACTTTTGGTTAATTCAGTCACCTGATTAGGGTCTTTCATCGCAACTGCAAAATTCTTCCCCTTGGCCATATTCATTTTCTTTTAATTGAATTTACTGGGGTGAGACTGGATAACAAACTTACACAGGCTTTAGGTGCACAGTCCCACAACACATTATCTGTGTGCTGTGTGCGCGCCACCCCATGCTAAGACTTCTTCCATCACCATTGCCCCCATATCCTGCTCTACCACCTTAGCCATTTGCTGTTGGTTAGAAACAAGCCACAGATTCTGTCTGCAAGTAAGGGGAGGGGATTACACAAAGAAGTGAATACAAGGGGATAGAAATGACACACAAACTATGTTAGAATTCTGCCTAACACAAGTAATGCTATTGCTCCTGTAATATCCTAGTATGCCCCCCCCCCTTTTTTTAGAGAGAAACATCAATATGAGAGAGAAATATCAATCAGTTGCCTCCTCTACACGCCCTGGCCAGGGATTGAACCCAAAACCTGGGTATATGCCCTGACTGGAATCAAATCCGCCATCTTTCGGTGTGAGGGATGCTGATCCAGCCTACTGAACCACACCAGCTAGCACATTTAGAGTCAATGAAATTCAAATAATAGTAATTCACTAATATTTATATAGAACTCACTCCATGCTAAATAGCATTCATCATACTTTGCACATATTAAGATTTGATCCTCAAAATTCTATGAGGGTGGGTCCTGTTGTTGAGGAAACTGAGGAAGGGAAGGAAAGGAAAGGGATGAGGAAACTGAGGCCCAGAGGGTATGGAGGGCTTTCCAGGTAAGTGATCAGTTGGAAGTCACAGAGTCAGTAAGTGGCATAGCTAGGACTTGAACCAGGGCATCTAGCACCAGAGTCTGTTGTTGATCCTGTTAGCATGATTAACATGTTAGCATGATTACCTGTCTGTAATGCCTGGTCGGCTGCTCTGTTCTTTGTATTTTGGAACTTCTTTCCAGCTCTGTTTCTTTCTTCCTTTACAGTTTCCTAGTGACCTAGCTTCCTGGCCTTACTCAGTAAAACCCTTTTATAATTTTTGCTTTATTTTCCTGGATCCAACATAGTTCTGGGAATCAAGAACCATGTATTCTTCCACTGGAACAAGCGACGATAATGAAACAAGTTGGGTCAGAAAGACAGCAGTGAAATGACAGAATTGTGAAAAGTGATCACACTTCCGAATTTAAACAAAGTAGTACTATAACGTACCGTTTGGAACAGCTTTCTTCACGAAAACGTAGGCCGCATGTTTGTGCTTAGTTTCATGCACTGCTGATAGTGACAGACTGCTCTCACGGAGGGTGTGGCAGACTACGGCTGTGACGGACGGTGCCTCTGTCTCCTAGGTAACCAAAGTGATCCTGGGCTTCCATCGCGCTGAAGAGGCTGCTTTCACCAGTGGGGAGCGGGAGCTTTTCATCCAGTTCTGCACTGTCTTCCTGGAGGACCTCGTTCCTTATTTAAATCGCTGTCTCCAAGTCCTCTTTCCACCAGCTCAGATAGCACAGACCTTAGGTAAGAGAAAGGAGAGAAGATTTTAAAAACTATTTGGTTGATCTTATTCACATACTAATTCATTCACCACCTCCTAAAATTTTAGTGAATGTACAGAAGCGTACAACCATTACCACCATGCAGTTTCAGAACATTTCCATCGCCCCCAAAAGATCCCTCATGCCCAGTGCAGTCGTTCCCCAGCAACCACGAATGTACTTTCTGATGCAACAGATTTGCCTTTTCTGAACATTTCATATAAATGGTATCATACAATGTATATATGTGGCTAAGTGGAAGAAGCTAATCACAAAAGAACCAGATATTGTATGATTTTCCAATTTGCCTTCACTTCCCTGTACCCACTTTCTCTGCCCCTGGGTTGGTTGCGAGGGAGGAGGAGGCAGAACGTCCCAAAGGGCAGTGGGCCACTAATCACACCAGGCAGTGGGGCTGCTCACCACTCTCCCCAGCTTTTCTCTTGAGCCTGTCACAGGGAAGCCAGTGCTCGCCCACTGAGGTTCTCTTGACCCTCCATCCGCCCTGCACTGTGCTGTGCAGATTACCTTCAAAGCCTGGCTTTACTGTATACGCCCCTCCCCCCCCAATGTCACAAAATCGCTCACTATATTGAAATATGGTTATTGTGACCGTAACTTCATGTGACATATCAGTATTTACATTTATTAAACGTTTTTTCTTTTACTTTGCCCACCATCCTGGTCAGGCATTCCACCCACTCAGCTCTCCAAGTACGGAAACCTTGGGCATGTCAACGTCAGCATCGTCCAGGAGCCTCTCGCCTTCATCCTGCCGATGAAAGAGATGGTCGTCTGCCTGGATGAAAGGGAGCCAGTGCCAGAGCTCACAGCTCCAGCTCCAGCTCCAGCTGCAGCTCCAGAACCAGAACTCCCAGCCGAGGAGTCAAGCCTCGAGCCCATCACTCTGGTCTTCCCTGAGGAGGGGCAAGAGCAGGTTGAATCAGCCGAGCCACTGCAAGCAGATGTGCCCAGTGAGAGCACTTAACGAGGTTCCCTGCTCCCACAACCAGACTCAGCACCCAGGGCCTGGAGGTTTATTGCAGCGCCCGTCCGGACAGCCCCAGGGGAGAGAAAATGAAAGGGGGAACCTCTTAGTCACTTCTCTTATACCATAAGAAATGAAGTAAAATAATAAAGCTGATTCTCGCCACCGAGAAGCGGACAGCATTCTGTGGGCAGGAAGGCGCGCGGGAACTACGATTCCCAGCGTCCCTGGCGGCTGGAGGGCTTGGCTACGGAGGCCGAAGGGGGAAAGCGTAAGGGCGGGCCGCTCTTCTGGAGAGCACCATGGGCCGCCTGGGGGCCGGGCTGCTGCTGGGGTCACTGCGGGCTCGCTGCCTCGCGGGGCCAGCCCTGCCGTGGGCGGAGGGGCTGGTGGTCGGAGCCCGGGCTTGCAGTTCCACGCGCCCCGGCGGTGGCCTCGAGGGGCCGCCGCGCCAGCGCTCCTACTGGCGCTATCTGCGGCGTCTGGTGCTGGGGGCGCCCAGGCCGCCATACCCGCACGTGTGCCAGGTCGGAGACCCGGCGCTGCGGGCCGTGGCAGCCCCGGTAGAGCCGGCGCAGCTGGCGGAACCCGAGCTGCAGCGGCTGGTGCAGCGGCTGGTGCAGGTGATGCGGCAGCGGCACTGCGTGGGCCTGAGCGCGCCGCAGCTCGGGGTGCCGCTGCAGGTGCTGGCGCTGGAGTTCCCGGAGGCGCTCTGCCGCGCCTGCGCGCCGCGCCTGCGCGAGGCCCGCCAGATGGAGCCCTTCCCGCTGCGCGTGTTCGTGAACCCCCGCCTGCGGGTGCTGGACAGCCGCCTGGTCACCTTCCCCGAGGGCTGCGAGAGCGTCGCCGGCTTCCTGGCCCACGTGCCCCGCTTCCAGGCCGTGCAGATCTCAGGTGCCGGAGGGCAGGGACCCCGGGGCGGCCGGGGGAGCGCTTGTGTCTCCTCTGCCTGTGCAGGCTGCGGCCTCGGATCCCAGGAAAGTTTCTGTAAAACTCCAAGTGCAGACACGCGGATGGCCGATCAGCGGAACCTTCCGGCGGGAACAGAGGACAGGACCTGGGAGTTGACGGCACTCAGGACTAACAGACTGGGGCACAGCCAGCTCAAGTGGAAGAGACGGGGTGGGAGGTCAGGAGGGGGATGTTAGGCTGGCCCTCTGCTCTATGCCCTGGCCCACTCTGTCTGCCCCAAATTAGCTGTCTGTCATGGTGGAGCGGGAGAAATGGGACCTCTTTTGCCCAGCCCAGCCCAGGGTGAAGGTGACACGCCATTCCGGGGCTGTCATACCAGGATATTTTGTGTAATATGGTTCTTGGCTGGGGTTGTGATAATTGTTCCTCCTGAGCAAGCCACTTGGTCCATGAGGGTCAGAAAGTCAGTGATCTCCCTGATTTTATGTTGCACCAAGCTAGAATACTTTGTTAGGAAACAATACTTCAGAAGTGGGAGGAGTGTTCAGGAGAGAAGCATCTTATTAGGAAGATCGTATAGTAAGCCCAGCAACCTAACTGAACTAAGTCGACTACTGGTAATTGGCAGACTTGGAGCATCTTTTCTAGGAGAAAAAGAGGTGCTGAGATCCCTTCTGATGCTGTAAAGAGGAACATCCAGGGGCCAGGAAAGGTGGTAAGGAGGTGGAGAATGATGCAGTTCAGCATGTCCTCACCCAGACTGTAACTTCCTTTGCAGGGCTGGACCCCAGAGGAGAGCAGGTGGTGTGGCAGGCCAGTGGATGGGCAGCACGCATCATCCAGCACGAGATGGACCACTTGCAGGGCTGCCTGTTCATTGACAAAATGGATAGCAAGACGTTTACAAACATCCGCTGGATGGAGGTGAATGACTAAACCTTTCCTGAGGATCCTGAAAACCAGGACACAGACACTTCAGCTTTGAGCCAGGCTGTCTTACTTGGCATTGGCTTGGCTCCGACAGAAAACAATGGACTTCTGAAACATGCCGGACTGAGTTGGAGGAAGATGGTAAAAATGATTGTGCCCTAGCTGGTTTGGCTCAATGGATAGAGCATCAGACTGCGGATTGAAGGGTCCCAGGTTTGATTCCGGCCGAGGGCACATTCCTGGGTTGTGGGCTCGATCCCTAGTAGGGGGCATACAGGAGGCAGCTGATCAATGATTCTCATCATTTGTGTTTCTATCTTTCTCTCTCTCTCCCTTCCTCTCTAAAATCAATAAAATAGCCGAAACCGGTTTGGCTCAGTGGATCTGCGGATTGAGGGATCCCAGGTTCGATTCTGGTCAAGGGCATGTACCTTGGTTGCGGGCACGTCCCCATGGGGGAGTGTGCAGGAGGCAGCTGATTGATGATTCTCTCTCATCGATGTTTCTAACTATCACTCTCCCTTCCTCTCTGTAAAAAATCAATAAAATATATTTTAGAAAATAATATTAAAAAAAATTGCTCCAGGTTGAGCTATAAAATACTGCCTTTAACTTGAGAAGAACACTAAAAAGAATGGACATTTCCTGATAATTTTGTATGGAGGATGGGGGGAGAGGGGCAATAACCACTCTCAGTAGACATGACTTTGTAAGACCTGTGCCATCTATTCCCAAAGCCAGGATTTGCTAATAAATGTAGTTCCAGAATATCTAAAAGCTGAGTGTAAAATGCAGATTAAGGCCGTGATTGACTTTATTTACCAAATTCTTATTTTACAAGGGATTTGTGTGTCTTACCTCAAGTCCTTTGCCCTGGACACCAGTGTGCTTGTGGAAGTAAACACAGGACAGAATGGCCCCAGTACATGGAAATGTTTACTGAGAATCCTATATAATAAAACCCTAATATGCAAAATGACCAAACCACAAAATGACCAGTCACTATGACACACACTGACTACCAGGGGGCAGATGCTCAATGCAAAAGCTGCCCCAGTGATCAATGCGCTCGCATGGAGGACCACCTGCCCAGCCAGAAGCCAGGCTCACAGCTGGCGAGCACAGCAGCAGTGCTAAGGACTCCTTGGGGGATGTCCCACTGCAAGAGGGCACAGGTTGGGCTGAGGGACCCATCTCCCCCACCCCCACAGTGCACAAACGTGGTGCACCGGGCCTCTAGTATCAGAATAAATGAGTACCCACGCACATTAACACATTCAGAGAGTTTAGGTTCCCACTTTGGCCTTTCACCTTTAGCAGACCCGGGGAGGACTTTTCTGCTGAGATTGCTTCGGCGGCTGGTACTTTGGTACCTGGTTTGTTCTGTGGGGGGAGGCCAGTGCCCCTTTCCCATCACAATTTGAGTAGAAAGACCTTGCGCTTCCTGTTCACAACATTTATTTTGGAAAAATAAATTAGCATTACGGTGACTGACCAGGGTTTAACCTTGAGCTGTTGTCAGAGGTGAGGAATTGGTTTCTTTAGGTTGGCTTACCTCATTTTTATGTTGTTTTGCATCGTTAATACTCTTACCAAAGTCCTAAAAGTCCAAGTGCCCATGTAGTAAGAAGTCCAGTAAGTTGTTTGAGAAAGAACTTATTTTAAACAGCAGTTAATCAAACGAGCCCTTCTTACAGAACTCTCCTCTAAGCTTTTTCTAAGCAGGCTGAGTCTGGGGGGCCTATATGGCCATGCAAAAGTGAACTGGCTCTCTGCGCACTAAACTCTGGAAGGAACAGGACTTAGCACTATCCCGAGGTGAAGTCAGGCCCTCAGCCATTGGGAAGTCTGTAGAAAGCTCTCATTAACATTGAGAACATGTGTCCTTAGAAAAACTAGAACTCAGTGACCCCTTTTCCCTCAGACAATGCTCAGAGACTCCTGCAGGGTGGCCTCAGAACATTCTGGGCCCTGGCCAGGTAGCTCTATTGGTTAGAGCAACATCCTGATACTTCAAAGTTGCTGGTTCCATCTCTGGTCAGGGCATATACAAGAAGCAACCAATGAATGCATAAATAAGTGGAACAACAAATCAAAGCCTCTCTTTCCCCCTTCTTCTCTCTCAAATTAATTTTAAACACACACACACACACACACACACACCATTCCGATGCCTCCTTACAGAGCTCTGAGGTTGACAGTCCTTAGTAAGGCCTCTGTAGTGTAGATCTGTAGCATCTGACTTCAGCTCCCTGATGCAAATGACTGCTCAGAGTGGACCTTGGAGAAACCATGAGACCATCTCTGTTGCTGACAATATATGAGATTTCCTGTTCTGACCAAATCCACAGAGGAGGAAGGATTTGGTCTCCTGGTTAAGACACTACAACCCAAAGGCAAATCTTTGCATTTCCACATTTCCAATGAAGAAAATCTCCTGCACCCGAGGCAGATGTATTCACCACAAAAACCACACACACAAATCGGCATCTGGAGCCGAGTTTTAGAAATCAACTTGCACAGTGAAAGCCTGACCTACAAGGGTCAGGACAGAGTGCCAGGCGGGGAAGATGTGGGTTTCAGAGGGAGCTTTTAGGGAAGTTCCTCTGCACGCGTCCGCCATGACTAACAGAGACCGCGAGGCCACAGCGTCAGTCTGAGTTCAGCCTCAGGGGGCATCTGAAAGCTGTGACCGCAGCTACGAGGATGACCCCTGTGACCGTCCAGGTGTTTAGCAGAGGAAATGAGGAAGCAGGTTTAAAAAAAAAGGTGGGGGTACAAGGACCTTCTGATTCAAGTAAAGATAATGGAGGCAGAGTAATAAAATACGAATAAGCCGAAACCGGTTTGGCTCAATTGATAGAGCGTCGGCTTGGGGACTGAAAGGTCCCGGGTTCGATTCCGGTCAAGGGCACGTACCTTGGTTGCAGGCACATCCCCAGAAGGGGGTGTGCAAGAGGCAGCTGATCAGTGACTCTCTCTCATTGATGTTTCTGACTCTCTATCTCTCCCTTCCTCTCTGTACAAAATCAATAAAATATATTTAAAAAATAAAATAAAATAAAATAAAATACGAATAAACACCAAGTTAAAATAAAACAGTCCTGGCAGGGGGCTTATCCTGGCTTCTAGTCCAGCATTTACAAACGTATCTGGTGGCTGAGGGCACATAACTAACCAAGAAATATACATGTGGGAACTCCAGAGCAAGCAACAAAAATTCCGGTCACAGTTGCTGCATAAGTGTCATCCGAGGTCAGGCAGGGGGCGCTCCAGGTAACGACGATAACCCATTAGCAAAGATAACCCATTAGGAACGGAGAGGAGCACCAAGCCCAAGCCTTCAAGAAACATAAAAATGCGTTAAGAAGGTTCAATTCAGCAGACATTTTAAGAAATTAGCCGGAGGGGTTAGGGAGGAGGAAGGGAAAAAAAGAAATTCGCTGAGTTCAGCAGACACTCCTAACCAGACCATAGGAACACCACAATGCAAGGCTAACATGGCCTAAGAGTTGGCCAGACTCGGTTCTGGACCATTCGGGTTTGAAGACACCAGTGGGTGGAGGGGGAAGGGAACAGGAAGGCTGAACAACCCATGCCAGGCCTTTCCTGCATGCTCCTATCTTGCGGTCTATGTGTGCAGCCATGACTGCACCTGCCCCGTCGGACGCACTGCCAGGGCTGCCAGCTCTGGAGACCTGGGTGTCTGACAAAGTCAACGGGGCTGGGCAGACGATGCCAATGTGTGAGCCGGCCACCTGGGGACGGTGAACTGCACCGCTTGTCACAACAGAACAGGGCTGCCTTGCTCAGCTGCAGCTGATTGGTGGCCTCCTGGGGACAAAAGCCCAGCATCACCTAATCTGAATTTTCGTGTCTCCTCTTGAGCTTTAAATGTTGGTCGCAGAGCAAACCACACCTGGCCCACAGGCCAGCCAATGTGAGACTCTGACCTGGAGGCTGGATAACGGGAAGGACAGCCCGAGGCCCTCAGGGACCCCTGGCCACACTTTTGAGGCCCTGGGGGAAGAAAGGTCTCAGGAACATAGGGAATCGTTGATAGAGAAAGTACAGGACTGGAGTAAGGCCTAGGCACAGTGGCAGTGGCAACATTCCTACTTCCTACTCTGCTGAAGACAAGACAGCGGAGAAAACCAGGACTTTCCACTGGAAGCAAGCATTGCCTTCCAAGAGCCCAAGAGTCAAAGACGCACTCACTCAGGTGGCTCCAGAAGGGAAAGGATTTATTAGCCCACTGCCCGGACGGGGACCGGCGGGCTGGCTCACGTTCTCACACTCAGAGGGAAGAGGCAGCAGTGAGACCCGCCTGGCTGCCTCCCTCCGGCCGTGCACAGCTCCGTGTTCACGGACCCGCTCCTCCTGCGGGGAGGCGCAGGGCTCGGAGGCCGACGTGGGAGGCGCGAATGGCTTGGCTTTGCTCTGGGCCTTTCCAGGCAGAGCATGGGCTGGGGATCCAGGGCATCAGCCATTCAGTTCACAAGGAGTGACACGCGGGCCTAAGAGGAACGGGGCACCGGGCTCGCAGGTCTGCCTGCCGCACCAGCCCCGCTGCTCGGCTGCTCCCACTCCGCGATGCTTCCAGGTGATTCTGACTTTATTTATAAACAAGACGAAAATCCAAGCAGCATTAACTTAGAGGAACAAAAAAGGCTTTAAAAACAAACATGGAGTGGCAGGACAAGGAGTGAGCATCCAGAAGAGGAGGAGGAAGAGGAAGAGCCAGTATTCCACCCGCTGCCGGACGTGCTTCTGCATCTCTGCGGCCGGGAGCCCCTTCCTTCCTGCTCCTTGGCTGGAGGCCAGACAGCCCAGGGGACACGGAGTGACCTTAGGAGGAGCCCTGAGCCCTGTCTGGCCACCGACATGAGGCGTGCATGAATTTACCGCCATCCACCTCCCTCCTGCGCCGTCACCAGTGAAAAGCTTCTAACTCTCCTGTCCAAAGTCCTCTGAGAATTTCTTCACTTTCAGGAGGTCGTCTGCGTTCACGGTGGGCCGGGTGGTGGCCAGAGACCGGAGCATGTCCGACTGCAAAGACAAGAGCACGTGGCTGGGGCGTGGCCGGACTCCAGGTCCTCGGCCTCCCAGCAGTCCGGGCGGAGGTCAGCCCCAGCCCCAAATGCAGACCGCCCTCTGCAGCCTGGCTTCTGCCCGAGATCCTCCCGGAAAGACGCTCCTCCTCCTGGGCGGTTTCTGTCGGTTCCAGACGGGCCTGCTGCCAGTCCGAGGGGATCGAGGCTCCCGCCCTCTAACTCCCGTGAGAAGCTCTAACTGCACGCCCAGCCCCGCTGCAAAGGCAGACACCTGCCTACAGAATGGGCAAGACCACGGGCAACACCGGGGTAAGGAGAGGTGAGGACTGGCCAGGAGAGCCTGCCTGTGAACGGCATCAGGTCACACCGCGCTGACATACACTTGCCGGTTCCTTCTGGGGGCAGGACAAGCCAAACCCATGGAATCAGGCAGACACATCACCGGGCCTTCGCTATTTTTTTTTTAATCCTCACCCTGGACATTTTCCCATTGAATTTTAAAGAGAGTGGAAGGGGGAGAGACACAGAGAGAGAAACATTTATGTGAGAGAGACACATCAATTGGTTGCCTCCTGCACCCACCCCAACTGGGGCAAGGGGTTGAGCCTGCAACTGAGGTACGTGCCCTTGACCGAAACTGAGTCTGTGACCTCTCAGTCCACAGATCAATGCTCTATCCACGGAGCCAAACCGGCTAGAGCTGGCTTTCACTATTTTTGCAGAAGAAAATGAAATGCTAATGCTGTGGCTTCCCCCCTGGGACTGAGTGAGGACTGTGTCTAACAGCACAAGCCCCGCTACTCAGAGCCCCAAAGGCCTTTCTCTGTTTAGGAGCCACAACAGCCTGGGACAGAAAAGGGGAGAAGCTTGTTTTTATTCCTGGACCCAAGCCCTCCATTTTGTGGGCTGTGCAGTCCGCTCTGCCAGCTGGCCACTTACCATGCAAACCACAGGCTCCAGGAGTTTGTCACTAGGGACATCCATCCAAGTCATCTCCATGGCCCCGGGGTCCCCTGGAGAGCAGGGGGTCAGGAGGTCATCGGTCATGATGTTGGGGTTGGTGCGGGAAGGGCCACAGACCTGAAAGCAAACGGGAGTTGGATTGGCTGTGTCTGGAGAAGGGCAGGACACCTCAGGTTTCCGAGTCCTGAAGAGAAGGGAAGAGCAGGAGGTGAACAAGTGCCTGGATTTCTAGGTCGTTAGTCTGAGGAGGGAGAGGCCCCTTCAAAACCCGCCGGCCGAGCGGTCCCAGTGGCTGGGAGCCACCGTCCTCCAGAACCTCACTGAGTGGCCCCAAATGCCTGGGTGCCTTCCTTTCTCATTCACTCAAATCTCAAATGTTTTCTACCTGAAATCTCTCCACTGGCACACTCTCCCGAGTGTCTGAAGGCTCATTCCCTCTCCGTCGTCAGCTCGAATGTCACCCGTGTGGCTTCTCCTTTAAGAGGGCAACCTGCCCCTCTGCCCCCGAATCTGACCCCCCCCCAGCTCCAGCTGGCCCCTCCCGCCTCTGAGAAATGAGTCTATCTACTGATTCCCTGTCTCAGCCTCTAGGAGAGGCTCCTGGAGGAGGGGTCAGTGACAAGTGTCTCCCTGGCCCTAGAGAGGCCGGGTGCAGAGCAGGACGCTCGGCAGCCCCTTGGCACAGAGCTTCCGTGGGAACGGAGCCCTCCTCACGGTGGGTGATTCTGGACCCGCCACTTTTCAAACGCCGGGAGGGCCCACCATACACAGCGCGGTGCTGACGGTGGGCGGGGGGGGGGGGGGGTAGCAGCGGGGGCCATGGTGCCGTGCCCTCGGCTCACACAGTCTGAGATGGCCAAGCAGGAAGAACCGCAGGGCAGGGGAGAGCAGGGACAGCCCTGGCCGGGCCCTGGAGCCTCAGGGTGCATTTTGCACTTGCCCTTGGTGCGCCAAGAGGCCCAGACTTGTCTGCAAAGAAAGCTGCTGTCCCCTTCCCTGCGACAGTTCTAAACACCGCCTGTGGGCTCACTCACCTTTTTGAAGTGTGTTGCTGACTGCACTTTCCTCACGGGCTGCATGAGGGAGTCCCGCACGATGATGCTGATGTCGGCCCCTGAGTAGCCCTCCGTCTTCCGGGCCAGCTCCTGGATGTTGGCGTCCGTGAGGCTGTGTGGGGTGCTGCCCAGATGCAACCGGAACATCTGGGCACGGGCAGCCTCCTCCGGCAGCGGGATGTAGATGCGCTTTTCGAACCTAGAGAGCCAAGCACACGGCTGGACTTGGGAGCAGACGGAGGAGGAGTCTTAACAAGAGGGACACGGCCCACAGGGCTGGCCGCACCGGCTGCCCATCGTGCAGACAGGGAGAAGCTTCCGCTGACCATGGCCGGAGAAAGACCCGCTTCCCCTCCTGGGGAGACTCACCTCCTCCTAATGGCTGAATCCAACACCCAGGGGATGTTTGTGGCACCGAGAACCAGAGTCCCATCGTTGTTGTTCCCCACGCCTGTGGACAAAGGGGAACAGATGCTGCCTCTGAGCACCAGCAATCAGTCAGGACCTGCGGGGAGGACCTCAGCGGCTTTGTGTCCTCAACTGGAGCCACCCCGCCACCTCCCTGGTGGGCCCGAACTGGCCTCGGGAGGGGCGGAGGGGCAGGAAGGCGGAGGGGTGGAGGCACAGAGGGGCAGAGGAACCGAAGGCCGCAGGGACCGCTCCAAAGGAAGGCCTGAGGAGACGGAGCTGAGAACTGCTCCCCTGAGCCTCCCTCGCCCCCCGGACGGTCAGGTCCAGCTGCAGTAACCCAGGACCGGCACGCACCCTGCATCTGCACCAAGAACTCCGTTTTGATCCTCCGGGCAGCCTCGCTCTCATTTTCGTTTCGGGAGCCGCAGAGGGAATCCACCTCATCGATGAAGATGATGGAGGGCTTGTGCTGCCGGGCCAGCTCAAACAGGTTCTTGACTAGCCTGTGAAGGCGACAAGTGGGTATGGCACCTGGACACTCACACACATGCCAGCCAGGGTCCCGGGCACTCCTCTGGCCCTTGCCACGAGGAGGTCAAGACGAGAGTCACACTTGGATTTCACAGAGACGGTGGTGACAAACCCTCCGGCAGCACTGTGCCCAGAGGAAGGGCGAGCCTGGCGCCTTCCCATCCATTAGCTCCGATTTGTCTTAAGTCATTTCCCTCTCTCTCAGCCCGTTTCCTCATCTGCCAAGTGGAGTCGGGGTGGGGAATACGCTAACTACATACAGGCCCCAACTGAGGACACCCCGACACCCAGTTACTGAAGAGCCTTCTCTTCCCTTCACGACCCATCTCTCCCAAGTGCCCTCCCGACTGCAGGGTCTGGATCAGTGTCCCCCCAAGGAGCCAGCAAGATGCCCCCTGCTGACTGCTTCTCCCCGACCCCCAGCGGCAGCTCCTCGGGCAGGGAGCGGGGCCACCAGCAGGGAACGCCGGGAGCCAGCGGGGAGGGCCTGGTGCTCACGCACTTCTCACTCTCCCCCAGCCACTTGGACATCAGGTCTGAGGAGGACACGGAGAAGAAGGTGGAGTTGTTGGCCTCCGTCGCCACGGCTTTGGCCAGGTAGGACTTCCCGGTGCCAGGGGGCCCGAAGAGCAGGATCCCTCGCCAAGGGGTGCGCTTGCCTGCCAGAAGGAACAAACGGAGTGAGCTTCCCTGACGGGGGCAGGGGGCCTCCGTCACTGTCACCGCAGTGAGCTTCCCTGACAGGGGCAGAGGGCCTCCGTCACTGTCACCGCAGTCAGAAATAAGTTCTACAGGACAGCTGATTCTGAGAGCAACGGGTAAAGGAACTACATTAACTGCCTGGCTTTGTCTTAGCCCTGGCTCATGACCCCGTGACCTTCAAAGTGACACAGTCTGGCACTGGTTTCAGACCCCGCCCGCCCACTGGGACCAGTCAAAGTTCCAGTTATAAAGGTGTTAACACCAGAGAAAAGCCGAGGAGTGGATGACTGAATGGGCAGGCCGTGGCCTTTCCTGAGTGGGAGCCCCCAGAAGGGCCTGCCCTCACCCACTGAGGGCAACGGGAGCCGAGTCGCCACCTGCCCCTGGAGCTTCAGAGCGGGGCCCGAGCCTGCTCCCTCGGAAGCCTGAGAGGTTTACATCCGGGCCTACAGAGGCTCATCTCTCACCTGTGAACAGGTGCGGGAACTTAATTGGCAAAATGACAGCTTCTTTGAGGGCCTCCTTGGCCAGCTCCAGCCCGGCCACGTCACTCCACCGGATGTTGGGCTTCTCCATCATGACGGCGCCTGCGGAGGGAGGCGAGCCCTGGCTCCAGAGCCCCGACCCCTGAGGGCCCTCGTCATGCCCAGATCCCACAGCTCGGGGCCTCCAGCCTCTTACCCATCAGCTGCTCTTGCAACTTCTTCTTCTCTGGGTTGTCCCCTTCGCTGTCACTATCGCTGCTGGGAGAGGAGACAGAGGGTGAGAGCTGGAGCCGGGGCTGGGAGGAGGCTGCCAGCAGAGCGTAAGGGATGCTCTTGCTGCTCACAGCGGAGACCACGAACGGTGCCCCGAGCACATTCAGGGACTACGGATCCTCCAGGAAACGCTCACGACCCGCCCTCCTTTCCTCATTGAGGGAGTAATGGAGACACGCGCTCTCTCCAGAGACCGGTGAGGGACATGTGCTCCGGCTGGATTCAGGAGCAGCCAGGGCCCGGCTCAGTGTTTGAGCAGCTACCTATGAGCCAGGAGGTCATGGTTCGACTCCCGAATTGTGGGCTCGATCCCCAACAGGGGGCGTGCAGGAGGCAGCCAATCAATGATTCTCTCTCATCATTGATGGTTCTCTCTCTCTCTCTTCCTCTCTGAAATCAATAAAAAAATATTATAAACAGAGGGAAACAGCAGCCAGGCAAGGCAAGTAAGGAGAGCCCTCCCTGGCCTCTCATACAGACTTGAAACCAGATAGCAAGTGGCTCTGACCTGGAGAAGAGGTCAGTCTTCCTTTTTCCTTTTTACCTTTTTTAAAAAAAATTTTTTTTATTGATTCAGAGAGGAAGGGAGAGGGAGAGAGAGAAACATCAATGATGAGAGAATCGTTGATTGGCTGTCTCCTGCACGCCCCCTGATGGGGATTGAACCTGCAACCCTGGCATGTACCCTTGACTGGAATCGGACCCAGGACTCTTCAGTCTGCAGGCCGACTCTATCCACTGAGCCAAACCAGCTAAGTGCAGGCCAGTCTTCTTGAGTCTAAGGAGAAGCACCTGGAAAAGGAGCAGTCACTGCCCCACCCCTGGCAGGTCCCTGTCTGGGTAGGAGGGACTGCCACCCTCCCACCTCCTGCAGCTGCGTCTGGCCTCCTGCCCCTCCCTGGCGTGTCTCTCACCCGGGCAACCTTCTCCGCCCGGAAGCAGAGTCTCCGCCTCTGGGGATGCAGCTGGCACAGCACCCGCCACTCTCCTCCTCAGGTCCTCCTCCCGGGACCCTCCCTCACCTCCAGGACCCCAGGGGTCTTTGTGCTCAGAGAACCGGAGTCTCCGTGGTGACAAGCCACAGACGTGAGGAGAGAAACTGCAGAGGGAACCCTGGCTTTGGAATCTGGGTGTGTTTCCAGACTCCATCAAGTTCCAGCTCTGGGACCTTGGCAATCTCTGAATCTCTGAGTCTGTAGCTTTGTAAGTCAGATAAAGATGTTAACCCAATGACAGCAGCAGCTGACAATCACCTAATCCTTACTGGGCTCCACCATCTATCCTCAGGGCTTCACCTCATCACCTCATTTGCTCATCACCTTCCTCCTCCTACAGACGAGGAACTTGAGGGCACAGGGGGCCGTGGCACTCGCCCAAGGTCACAAGACTAGGAAGTGGCAGAGCCAGGTTCTACCCCCAGAGTCTGGCTGCAGAACCCAAGGCCAGCACCCTCCACGCTGGCTCCCCACCCAGACCCAGTGTCGCAGCGCACACAGCGGTATCCTGTACGAGCTTGACGAAAGCAGCTGGAGGCTGTGTTAGCGTCCAAAGCGACAGCAGCACGAGGCCAGACACATGCCCGTGGGCCCGTGCGGTCCTCCCCTCCTCCGCACTCACCCCTTGCTCTCGCTCTGATTCTCTTTGACCGGCTTCTTGCCGTGCTTCTCCTTGTTCCGCAGATAATCCTTCAGCTTCTCTGCCCGGTCTAGGTACTGCATGCACTTGGCTCGAATGCTCTCCTTGGCCTTGTCGCTGTGCGCCTCATCTGCAGAGGAGGAGAGGGCCCTGTGAGCCCGGTGCCCGCGCTCCTGTCGCAGAGTGGGGTCCCGAGGCTCCCTCTCGCGGGGCCTGGCACCTGGGCGGGCCCGTGTGGGACTCACATTTGATCGCGTGGAGGAAATACTCCACCGCATGCTGGTAGAGCCGGAGCGCCTCCTCGTAATTCTTGGCTTTATCCTCTTCTGTGGCTTTTGTCACCAGATCAATGGCTTTCTGGGAAGGCAAAGCGAAGAGCTCAGTGCTTCCCCAGGGGCCCAGAAAGCCCTCGGGTCCCGGGCAGGAGGAAAGCGCCAGGAGAACTAGTCAGGCACAGACCGTTATGCCGGCCTACGTTCCCAACGACCGGAGGGCCTGAGGGGGATGCTGAAAGACAGCCATCCCTCTCCCCAGTCACTCAACACCAGCAAGCACCTCCGCAGTCTGCTCTGAGCGAGCGGAAGCTGGCGAGCGGTCCAGTTATTCCGTGCCTCAGGGGAAGACATGCACCCCGACTCGGAGCCTGGAAGAGGGGAACACCAGAGCCAATGGGTTCCTGTGCTGGCCGGCAGGGAGGCCAGACTGAGGCCGGAGAAGCGCCAGCCAGCGTGGAAAGCCCTCCATCGACCCGTTTTACGAGGTGAAGTTACAGGGGTCTACAGCCAACCTGCTTCCGGAGACTGAAAAGAGAAGACGTTTAGGGAAAAGCTGCGTGTGCACATGGGCCTATTCACCAGCATCTCCATCACAGAAAGCGCGTGCTCACCCCCTAAGCAGTATGCGCTGCCACAGGAGGGCCCACCCTGGGAGCCCTCTGAGCACTCTGAGAGTCTGCGCACCTCACGCCCTGTGGCCTGCGCACCCCACGCCCTGTGTGTGGCCTGTGCACCCCATGCCCTGTGGCCTGCGCACCCCACGCCCCGTGGCCTGTGCTCTCCACGGGGCCAGGAGCACGCTGGGCCTCTCAGACCGCTGCCCCCGCCTCCACAGCCATCCAGCTTGGAAACCATGGCTTCACCCGGGGGCGTGACCAGAATTCTCCGCCTCCACAAGACACAGCCCTGGACACCGGGCGGGCGGGTCCCGCCGGGACACACAGCTCCGTCCACACAAACAACAACCCCACTGACGGGCGGGGGCAGCCCTTCCCCATCAGAAGGCAGGAAGCCTCGGGAAGAGAGACACAGACTCTGCAAATCCAACCGACGGGCAGGGCAGGCCTGGCTGCTGGGAACTCGCCGGGGTGGAGAGACAGGGAAGGTGAGAGTGCAGCTCCCGGTCTCCAGCCTCGGCTCCATCCACTGCCTAAGAGAGAGAATGGCCGGGAGCCCTGAGCTGTAGGAATGGATGAGGAGCTCACACACAAGCTGCACTTGTCTCCTCTCCCATCACGGCCCTTCAGAAACCACACGAGCGGGCAGTCCTGTCCCTGTGACTCTTCTCCAAAACAAACACCCGCAGGTGCTCAGACTTTTCCCTCTACACCAATCATTTCAACAGGTGTGCTGCAAAAGGTTTTAAACATGCACTACCCGACTATTCAGTCGGGAGCACTGACCTCTTAGTTTGTCGTTGGTCAAACACAAAAACGACAGCAGCTCTCCCTCCAGGAGCGTGCCCGGCCACTCCCTCCCCACCCGACTCAGGGACCCGTGAGACGTGCACCCAGAGGGACAATGGGCAGCGGCAGCTCGTCCAGGGTGAACCCCTTCAATCTGACTCCAAGACTCCCTCTCCCCCCTTTTCTCTGGCTCCCCAGGGAGCTAAGGCCGCCCAGCCCAGGCTCTCCTGCTTCTTCTGTGCCCTTCTGTGTCACTGTCCTAAGTGTGTGTGTGTGTGTGTGTGTGTGTGTGTGTGTGTATATATATATATATATATATATATATATATTTATATTTAAATATATTTTTTTATTGATTTTTTACAGAGAGAAAGGGAGAGGGATAGAGAGCCAGAAACATCAATGAGAGAAAACCATCGACCAGCTGCCTCCTGTACACCCCTCACCGGGGATGTGCTCGCAACCAACGCACATGCCCTTGACCGGAATCGAACCTGGGACCCTCCAGTCCGCAGACCGACGCTCTATCCACTGAGCCAAACCGGTTTCGGCTGTCCTAAGTATATTTTTGCTGCGGCTAATAAATTGCTTACTTTTACACACACACACACACACACACACACAAATGATAACAGCCAACAAAACAACAGCCGTCTGGTGTAAATGAATCAAAATTATATCATTTCTTTCTGGTAGATCAGCAAAAAATACATTTTTTGGTGTGCTGCAGAATTTTAGAAATTAGTCACATGTGCCGTGAGATGAAAACCACTGCTCCATACGCCTTCTTGCTTAGGTTGGTCCTTCTGAAAGGTGGAGTTCAGGACAACACTCCAGGTCCGCTCTGTCCCCCATGTGACAGGCCACGTGGCAGAGTAGACCCATCCCTTGCTCCCCTTCCCTCCCCTCCCCTCTTTTTAAAAATACATTTTTATTGATTTCAGAGAGGAAGGGAGAGGGAAAGAGAGAGAAATATCAATGATGAGAATCATTGATCGGCTGCCTCCTGCACACCCCCTTCTGGGGATGGAGCCCACAACCCGGGCATGTGCCCTTAACCGGAACCGAACCCCAGGCCCTTCAGTCCGCAGGCCGACGCTCTATCCACTGAGCCAACTCAGCAAGGGCCCTTTGCTCCCTCCTTCATACTCAATTCCAGCACCTGAGATTTTCTGGAAAACGGCGTACATTTTTTGCATGCAGGAGGCCTCAGCTGCAGTTCGGAGAGGAGCAGTTTTGCATAACAGGAGGGTAAGGTGACCAAACGCCAGCCCTGCCCCATCTCGAGTAACGCGCATTGCAAAGGACGAGGATGAAAGGAAACGGCTGCAGAATCTCTGTGGCAGCGGTTCACCCCTGCCTGGGAGCCCAAGGCAGCCACAGACAATAAATACATAAACCAACGAGCAGGCGTGTGTGCCAACAACATGTCACCTGTAGACACTGGGATTTGAGTTTCATGATCTTCACGTATCACGAACACCCTTTCGGCCTGGTAAAAATGCGAAAACCTACATTCTGTCACACTGAAAGGAGCCACTCACAAAGGACTTCATTGGTATAATTTCCATTTATATAAAATGCCCAGAATAGGCACATCTATAGGGAAAGGAAGGAGATTCGTGGTTACCAGGGGCTGGGAGGAGGGATAGAAGGATGGAAGGAATGACAGCCACAGGGTGAAGGTTTGGTTTCAGGGTGATTGTGGCCCTAACAGGTTTGGCTCAGTGAATAGAGCCTCAGCCTGCGGACTGAAGGGTCCCAGGTTTGATTCCGGTCAAGGGCATGTACCTTGGTTGCCGGCTCAAGTGGGGGGTGTGCAGGAGGCAGTTGATCGATGTTTCTCTCGCATCGATGTTTCTAACTCTCTATCCCTCTCCCTTCTTCTCTGTTTAAAAAAAAAAAAAAAAAAGATCATTAAAATATATTTAAAAAAATAAATAAAAGCGATTGTGGTGATGGTTGCACAATACAGTGAATGTACGAAGAACACTTTAAATAGGTGGATTGTACGGGGTATGATACATTGTAGTAAAGCTGTTTTTAAAAAACGTGTTGTTGCCGAAACTGGTTTGGCTCAGTGGATAGAGCGTCGGCCTGCGGACTGAAGGGTCCCGGGTTCGATTCCGGTCAGGGGCACATGCCTTGGTTGCAGGCACATCCCCGGTGGTGGTGGTGGGGTGCAGGAGGCAGCTGGTCAATGTCATCGACGTTTCTAGCTCTCTATCCCTCTCAGTTCCTCTCAGTGTAAAATCAGTAAAATATATATTTTTTTAAATGTTTTTTTTTTTTTTTTAATAAAAAAAAAACATTCTTAGCTCACAGGTCCTGCAAACCCCGGGCAGATGGGACCTGCAGGGGGGAGTTCACCCACTGTGCCCACTTCCCCTGCAGCACCTGGGGAACCTGAAGGCCAAGTGCCTCTTCTTCCAGGGAATCCTGGAGGAACTCCCGAGCCCTGTGTCCCCCTCCCAGACCCTCCTCTGCCCCCAGACCCTCCTCAGACCCAAGGTCACTCACCCCGAGGGGCGGCAGGGCGGACCTGCAAACCCAGCCCCAAACCCGGCCCGAGGCCAGAGCGTGTTTATGTTTCCCGGCCCAGCCGGCCCGGCGGCCCCTGGGAGGTGGGTCCGTCCTGCATCCAGGGGGCGCCACCCAGCTCCGCCCCGCACAACCCAGGGAATGAATGAGGGGTCCTTGGCCCAGAAGAGGAAATCGGAGACGGGGAGGAAGCAGGGGCTGGGAGGAGGAGGAGGAGGAGGAGGAGGAGGAGGAGGAGGAGGAGGAGGAGGAGGAGGAAGAGGAGAAGGAGGAGGAACTGGAGGAGGAGGAGGGAGAGGAGGAGGAGGGAGAGCCAGCAGCCGCCCTGGGCCCGGGCTGTGGGGCGGCGCCGGGAGGCCTCCCGGGAGTCTGAGGCCGCGGCGGGACCGGGGCGCCGGCTGCACGGCGCGGCCTGGGGCTCGGGCTCGGCCAGGCCGGGGGGCCGGGCGCTCCTGACGGGAGGCGGCCCCCGGCTCCGCGTCCCGTCAACACAGACGCCGGCGGGGCTCGGAGGAGGCGCCCGCCCGCCCGCCCGGCAGCCGGTCCGCAGGCCCCGCCGCGCCTCCCTCGGCCTCCGCCGGCCGGCCGGGCCGCGCGCGCCGAGTACCTGGAGGGTTGACGTTGTCATTTCATCTCCTGGGTCCGCCTCACACCCCGCGGCGCTGCTGGCGGCCTCGGTGCGGCCTCGGGGAGCCGAAGTGCTGGGTGCGGCGCGGGGAGCCCGATGGGTCCGCGCCGGGCGCGGGGAGCGGTGGCCGCTGGCAGCGGGAGGGAGTCCGGGGACGAGCGACGAGTGCGGCCCAGAGCGGTCGGGCCCGAGCGGCGCGGCTGCCCCCTGGCGGCCACGGCCCGCACTGCAGGCGCCGCTCTCCGCGGCCACCGGCCGCCCCGGCCAGAACCGGGCCAACCGGGCTGCGGTGGGGCGGGGCGGGGCGAGGGGGCGGGGCCATGGGCGGGGCGGGGCCATGGGCGGGGCGGGGCAGAATCCTCAGGCCCCAGACCCCACTTCCAGTAAAGCAATGCCCGTGGGCCAGTTTTTTTAGTTCCCAGAGCTTTGTGTTCCGCCTGTTTAATAGGGAATGCTAACAATCAGGATCCACCTTTTTCTGGCTTTTGAGAGTAATGAAGGAGCTAGCTAATGAAAACATAGTGTACCCTACAGTGTTATCAATTCCTGGTAACTTATGATGCCTGAAAGTAGTTTTGTTCTTTAATCCTCACCGAGGATATGTTCTTTTCTTTTTAAATATATTTTATTGATTTTTTACAGAGAGGAAGAGAGAGGGATAGAGAGTTAGAAACATCGATGAGAATCATCGATCAGCTGCCTCTTGCACACCTCCCCCCTGGGGATGTGCCCGCAACCAAGGTACACGCCCTTGACCGGAATCGAACCTGGGACCTTTCAGTCCGCAAGGCCGAGGCTCTATCCACTGAGCCAAACCGGATTCGGTGAGGATATATTCTTATTTGTTTTTAAGTAGAGTGGGAAAGGGGGAGAGAGAGAGAGAAAACATGAAATGGGCGGCTCCTGTTCACACCCACAATCTTGGGATGTGTTCTGACGAGGTATCGAACCCGCAACCTTTTGGTGCACTGGATGATGTTCCAGGCAACTGAGCCACGTTCCTTCAGTTCTACAATATTTCATCAGTGTGGGCTACTTCGGAGCTCTGTGTTGTTTCTGGGGACACAGCAATGATGGACACAGCTCCAGGGGAGCCTGCAATCTGAGGAGAAAGGGGATGAGCATCAGGGAAAGTTATGGAACAAGCATGCGGAGGCCCGTGTGCGAAGGCCCATTGCTCTGTGGGCTTCTAACAGGCAACCTGCCCAAGGTAGGGGGTCTGGAAAGCCTCCCATTAGAAGAGCATTCCTGGCTGATGGAACAGCCTGTGCAAAGGCCCCGAGGCCCTGAGGAGGCCACAGGTGGAATTTAAGAAACTATTAGAAGGCTCAGGTGGCCAGAGAGCAGAAAGTAGTAAGTCAAAGCCTCATGTCCCTTGGTGTTCGCGGGTAGGGTAGGGGTGAGAACATTTGGCTATGGCCACGATTTTGGGTTTTATCCTAAACCTAAGGACATTTGTTTTTGGATGGATGTCTCTAGCCCTCCTATGCAGAACTGATTGCCGAGATCGGATGGCTAGTATGCATGTAGCTACTGCCTTAGTCTAGAAGAGTGAGGAGTGAGGGAAGCCTGGCCTGGGAGGAGAGGGGCATGGAGAGATGCGCACAGAAAGGGGAGGTTTTGGAAGACAAGTTTTAAGCGCTTGGCAGTGGATTAGATAAGGGGTATGGTGAGGGCTGGAGGGACAGAGATAACTCCTGGGTTGCTGGCGTCGGCACCTGGACCAATAGTAATGCTACCGAGATGGGGACTCTGGACAAAGACTTGATCTGGGGGCTTGTGGAGGAGGGATGAGGGGGTTGAGGTGCCTCTGAAGTATCAATAGTCAGATATGTGCATCTGGAAGCCAGAGGAAAGAGGGCTGGAGAGGCACATCTGTGAGACATCTGGGTGTCTGTGGGAATGGAAGCTGCGAATCAGATCTCCTCGGGAAGAGCAGAGGGTAGGGGGAGCCTAGGGCAGAGCTTGGGGGTTCGTTGGCCAGCCAGAGGAGGAAGAGCCTGCAAAAGCAGCTCCAAAAGACAGCCGGAAACAAGGACAGACAGAAGAGTATCGGAAGTGAGGGGCGGGGCAGGAGGACTGTGGGGAAGGAGAGGGGAGCACGGTACCTAATGCTGCTGAGAAAGCAGACAGTGACTTATGTAAGATACTGACGATGACCTCAGCCAGAGAGGAGGAAGTGACGGAGGCAGAGCCACACTGCAGAGGGCCACGAGTGAGTGGGGCAAGAGGAATGAAGTCCATGAGGAGGCACAGCATTCAAGGAGTTTGGGGAAAAGAGGGAGGCCTAGAACAACAGCTGCAGGAATTGTGGGACTGGAAGGAGTTTCTGTTGGTTGGTAATGTGAGAAGAGCTGAACATGTTCGAAAAACCAATAGGGCCCGGCCGGCGTGGCTCACTGGTTGAGTGTCCATCTGTGAACCAGGAGGTCATGGTGTGATTCCAAGTCAGGGCACACACCCAGTTGGTCCCCACTGGGTGGCATGCAGGAAGCAGCTGATCAGTGATTCTCTCTCAATATTGATGTTTCTATCCTTCTCTCTCTCCCTTACTCTCTGAAATCAATAAAAGTATTTTTAAAATATTTTTTATTGATATTTTACAGAGAGGAAGGGAGAGAGACAGAGAGCTAGAAACATCAATGAGAAACACCGACCAGCTGCCTCCCGCACATGCCCAGGGCTGCCAGCTTGATTCCCAGTAGGGGGCATACAAAAGGCAGCCAATCAATGATTCTCTCTCATCATTGATATTTCTCTCTCTCTCTCCCCTCTCCATTCCTCTCTGAAATCAATGAAAATATATTTTTTAAAAAGGATCTAGTAAAAATCATTGGGAATGGGATCAACCTATAGGTGGGAGAACTGGCTTTAGACATTACAATAGGAGGGAAAAGATAGACGCCTGCCTATGTTGGCTGGAAAGTCACATCTGAAAGGGGTCTGGACGGGGCGGTAGCATTGCACCGATGTGCTGGTTTCCTAATCGGAGGTCTGTGTGGTGGCGATGCAGGGAAGTGTCCTTGTGTTTGGGAGGCACGCAAAAGAGAGCATCATGTCAGAAAAAGAAGGTGGAACAAATGTGCTAAAATGTTAACTGGGAAATTTGGGGAAGAGGGATGTAGGAGTTCTTTATACTGTTGTTAAAACTTTCCGGTAGGTTTGAAACTATTTCAACATTAAAAAAAAAAAACAAGTCTAAAAGCAACTTTTTATTTACAGTATAAAGGTTACAAAGGTATTTATGTATTTATATATATAATACCCTTAAGTTACAAACTTTCATTGTAATATACAATGCTAAATGTCCATGTGCAACTCAAGGGAAAGTGTTGTCTATGCCTTTGTATTTATAGAGTACACATACATAAAGCTTTTTTCTTTTTTTCATTAAGAACACAAATACTGCCCTGTTGTACGCCACGGATTTCAATTTGGTTGTCTGGTAGATGCCAGAAGATTTCAAACTTAAATTTTAAACACTTACAAAGAAGTCTTGTTTAAATACAGGGTTCTAAAAAGAAGAAAACCCCAGAGTATCACAAACTTTTAATAATTTGTAGAAGTATTATTACAGCTAGTCTAAGTCTTAATGCTTCATAGAAATGCAAGTTGTGTGGGACAGAGAGGGACAAACCAGAGTTTGCAGAGATTAGCCAAAACAGAAGGCTTCAAGGTAGCGGCCTGCCACATTATCTGCTCAAAGACCTTGGGTCTGCTGCCAAAAGGGGAACCACTCTCTGGGAACCAAGGTCTTCACGGGTTGCACCCGCCTGACAGGTTCAAAGATAACACGCAGCCCCCCTTCCTGGAGGAAAACCACTGGAACTGGATCTCATGATGAGGGCAGATCTGCTGTAAGTTGTGAAGAGCATCATCAGGGGTGATTGTGCCAAACCCAGAACTTCGCTTTAACAGTTCCCTCTCCCCCAGATTCTATTAATTTAGAAAACAGAGAGGTGAAAAAATAGAGCTGACCCCGACCCGAACAGGACTGAGAGAGAAGAGATGCAGTTCTTCCAACCGGGGGAGAGCAGACACGCAACAACACGTATGTGCTGGTTCCAATAATAATAGTCATTAGCACCTGATTGTCAGAGGGCGGGTTTTGAGGAAAGACCATGACCTACCGTGTTTCCCCGAAAATAAGACATCCTCCGAAAATAAGACCTAGCGCATGGAAAGATAAGACATCCCCTGAAAATAAGACCTAGCGCAACTTTGGGAGAAAAAAATTAATATAAGACACTGTCTTATTTTCGGGGAAACAGGGTAGTATGTGTGCACAGCCTCCAGGACACGTGGACACAAAGGGGGAAGAGCCCATGAGTGTTCCCTGTGCCATTCCAATCACATGGCTCAGGCACTTTCTGAGCGTGATGAAGGCTGCTACCTGAAAGGCTGATCCTCGTGATGAACAGAAGGCAAGCTGGATAGAAAAGGATGTTACTAAATAAGAAATATGGAAACATTCACGCAGTCTTTCATTTTCGTTAAGTGCCCTTTTCACCGAGTTTGCCAGAGTGTCTGGAACAAGTGGAATTTTACTAAGTTTTAAATATCTTCATTTTGAGCTCTCATTATGAAGAAATACCCCATCCACCATGTATGAGGACTTTCAGCAAATGAGATGTTTAAATGGTGTGAGTGTGAAAATGAATAGGCCAGCACAGTTTAGAAATGGGTGGTAGATGAAAATACACATTTAGCTTTGCTGTTTATAGTTAAAAGAAGCATTTCTTTAAAAAGACTTTCCCATTGATCCACTTTGAGCAACAGAACTTAATTGTTGTTGTGACTCATCTCCCTAAAGGTATTCTACAATATTCTCCTTCCCAGACTTAAATCATAATTTTGCATTAAAAAATTATGTGTGATGAAAAGACCAGCCTACTTAAATGTGCTTGGAATTCTTTCATGCTAGACTGGGCCCCCTTTTAAACATTTTCCAGTTTGCCAAATGAGGAGAACTCCAGATATACTTTGATAAAAATATGAAG